AGGGGAAGGGTGGGTTCTGGGGAGGGGGGGAGGTATATTGTAAAACTTTTATAAAATTTTCAATTAAAAAAAAAAAAGAGTAAACATACTCCTCAACTTACAACCACAACCGAGCCCCAAGTTTCTGTTTTTAAGCAAGGTAGATAAGTGAATTTTGCCCCATTTTACGACCTTTCTTGACAAAGTTTTTAAGCGAATCACTGCAGTTGTTAAGAGAATCATGCAATCATTAAATGGATTTGGCTTCCCCCATTGGCTTTGCTGGTTGGCAGTCAGCTGGGGAAGGTTAGAAATCACAATCACATGATCCCCAGGACAGTGCAACTGTCATAAATGTATGCCAATTGCCAAGTGCCCGAATTTTGATCATGTGACCATGGGGATGCTGCAACGGTTTTAAGTGTGAGAACTGGTTATAAGTCAATTTTTTCAGTGTTATTGTAAAATCAAAAGATCACTAAATGAATGGTTGTAAGTCAAGGACTATCTGTATGGTTCTTCTCATATGTGTGCCATCACTGTAATTATGGTGCTTAGTTTGCTTTTCTTGCTTCCTTTTATTATTTTCATGTCCCATTCTACAGTCAGACACAAAGCCCAACCAAACTTGTACAGAATCAACATCTCTGACAAATTGTTACTTTCACTAAGGGAAATTTATTTGCAAACTGCCAAAAATGATTGCTTTCTTAGATCAAATCATTAAACCGCATCCTTTGTGTAACTCGCATTATTTGTTTTCTGCCAAACATTTTGAAATAATGTTTGACGAAAGCTGGGTTTTCTCCCCCAGTAAAATTAGCTTCCTTAAGCTTTTTTGCAAGTGCAGCTGATAAATGAACAGCGGAAAAAAAATGTTTGGAAACAATCTTAAAATCCTGGCCTGGTATCAAAACTGTGGGAAACAAAAAAAAAGGTTGAACAGATAAAGGTGTCTGGTAAATGTCTTTTTGCTAGATCTTGCAAAATAAACAAATAAAAATTAAATAAATGAAATAAATAAAAAGTAGGTTTTGCTGATTTTGCAAATATTTATTTATTCTCTATATTATTTAGAGCTCTTATGTAAGAACTGTTGCTTTAGGCTTTTAAAGGAATAAAATTTTAGTCAGTTTGAGGTCACAAGGCAGCCCAGCTGTTTCTTGGTAAAGTAATAATTCAATTTTTTTAAAAAATCATAGGGGAAAATTAAGACAGAAAAGTGTATTATGGGGGATAAGTTACTTCAATTGAGAGAGTGAAGGAGGGAAAACTATTCAAATGGCCCTGGTTTGAGTTTAACAACTACACTTGCTTTTTAGCTGAAGCTAACATTGCCATGAGCAGCACGTAAACTAGCGGTTGTTTCTGCAATCACAAAAAACTCAAAAATGAGTGATCATTTCACTTTTTTTTTTTGGTCAGGATTTTGGTCAGGATTTTGCATCAGTAATTGTGAACTTGAAGGATTGTTATTCTTTCTCTTTCTACAACAGCAACTATTTATTTATTCTCTTCCTTTTCCTCTTCCCCACAAAATCCCTGCTTCATCAAGCATCAGCGTAAATCTAGGGAGGTGATTTCTAAATCAGGCCAGGTCTTAAGCACACGATCTGGGATAGCGGCAGCAATCCTCAGGAGTATTCTTAATGATCAAACAGATCCCAACAAGCCATTCCCATTGGATACCATGCTCCTCAGAGTTCATCCCCAAAATCTGTAACCCAATAAAGAGCCTAGGAATTTAGTTGATTGCTTACCTGTTTAATTATCAACTGTTATAACAGCCATTGCATAAGAAGGAAGATTACAAAAGAGAAAAAAGAGAGAGAGAGAGAGAGAAAGAGAGGGAGGGAGGGAGGAAAGAAAGAAAGAAAGAAAGAAAGAAAGAAAGAAAGAAAGAAAGAAAGAAAAAGAAAGAAAGAAAGAAAGAAAGAAAGAAAGAAAGAAAGAAAGAAAGAAAGAAAGGCCTGAGGCAAGGCCTCAAAACTCGAGGTGGGGGGGAGAAATTGGTACAGGCCCCACCCTGCTTCAGAGGAACAGAGACCTTGCTCCCCTGAATCCATCTGGGCCTTATTCTGTTATCCCAAGGGGAAAAATATAGCCAGGAGGAATATTAGGACAATCTTTGTGTATGCATTGTGTATTTTTTTTCTTTTGTTTAAAGTTTGTATTTTAACTTTGTGAATAAAATAAATCATGGGGGGGGAAAAGAATACCAGAATTATGTCACATGCCTCACTGGATGGGTTTTGTGAGTCTTTGGAGAGAACTCTTTCTCTTGGTCCTTCTATCAGAGTGGCAGCTCAGCATGCTCTCGGCTCCCTCTTTTGTCATCTGCTGCCACCAAACCACTCAACAAATGGGTTCCCTTGAAAATAAAAGGGGACAAATGCAGGCTGCACACAGCTCCTCCCCAGTCTCTTTGTGCAGCCCCAGAAACCGGGCCACCAAATATCTGCCAGAAACTACTGAATTCAGCCATCCAATAGGCCCACGTATGGTGGAAAAAAGTCAAAACACCTTCCTGCTTTTGAAAGTCCTGGATTCTTTTCGCCCATCTGCGTGATATCACTGGGCTTCGGCCTCGCGGTTACCCCGCACATAGAGCCAATAAATGCACAGCTCCTTCCCACAAGAATTTAAAGTGCGTCGGGGTGAAGAACCAAACTTGCTTCACGAGATGGTATAAAAGCCAGAGTTGAAAGGCGAACAAGAGCGGACTCTCTTCTTATACATCAATCACATATGGTGCCACCAGTTCCAGATCTACAACTGACCCTTCCAGGGGCTCTTCCACATGGAAATCACGGTGGTGCTGGAGCCCCTGACGAATTTTTTTGTTCCCACGCTGGGGAACTGGTAATTCTGAGTGGTGGGCTGGCAGAGGGGATGTGAAAAAATAGGGATGCAGAAGTGCCTAAGGAACAAAAGGAGAGAAATCATCTGGCTGGCTCTGACCAAATCCCATAGTCCAGGGGTAGGCAACCTTGGCTCTTTTATGACTCGTGGACTTCAACTCCCAGAATTCCTGAGCCAGCATGGCTCAGCTTGGAAACCTCTCCCTTTCCCCTCAGCATGGCTGGCTCAGGAATTCTGGGAGTTGAAGTCCACGAGTCATAAAAGAGCCAAGGTTGCCTACCCCTGCCAAAGGGTCTCCCACTATGGCCACGTGGAGAATCCTGGAAGCTCTCAGAAAGCCGCCCCCAGGTTTTTTTGGGGGGGGGGGGAGGGAGGGAGAGAATTAGATTACAGTTCACAGATATCCTACGGGTTGAGCATTATGGGAAGTACAGGTAGTTCTTGAGTTACAATTGTAATGAAGCCTGCCCATCACAGTTGTATGGTTGTAAAGCGAGCCAGTCACACGACTGACCCAATTTTACAATCTTTTTTTGCAGCAGTCATTAAATGAACACTGCAATTGTTCAGTAAGTCCATGGTTCGCTCTGGGCCAGAGGTAAATGCCAATTTTCAGCAAAACCCTTGTAAAACTGCGGGACGCTGCAAAGGGCCATACGTGCAACCCAAGTGTGTTCATATAATCTCTGGGGGCGGGAGGGGAGGGGTCCGAGAGTTGAATCTGGGTCATAAGTACCCTCTGAATAGGTTCGTTGGAGCTTTGAACAGTTCCTAAGCGACTGGTCATAAATCAAGGGCTACCCATGTCAGCTAAGGAAGGCTGCTAACAGCACAAAGGGAATACAGGTAGTCCTCAACTTACAGCCACAATTGAGCCCAACATTTCTGTAGTTAACTGAGACACTTGTTAAGTGAATATTGCCCCATTTTATGACCTTTCTTGCCACAGTTGTTAAGCGAATCACTGCAGTTGGTAAGTTAGTATCCTGGTTGTTAAGTATCCTGCTTCCCCATTGACTTTCCTCGTCAGAAGGTCGCAAAAAATGATCACATGACCCTGGGATGCTGCAACGGTCATAAGTATGAACCAGATGCCAGGCATCTGAATCTTCATCACACAATTGTGGGGGATGCTGCAAAGGTTGTAACTGTGAAAAACCGTCATAAGTCACTTTTTTCAGTGCCGTTGTAACTTTGAACAGTCGCTAAGTGAACTCAGGTAAGTCGAGAACTACCTATATGGGCCACTCATGCTAGATGAACAAGGATGAACAAGGTCTGAACAAGCTTTTCTACCATGCAATCCCTCCGCCTCGTTCACAGAATTTCACATTAGGTGGGGAATGTAATCTCCCTCTTTAAATCTTCTCATGTTTTCCCAACTAGTGCTTAGTATTTTTTCTTTTTTTTATTTATTTGAGGTGGAATAGTTGTGTGTTGTCTTTGAATTAGTACCACAAAGTTGCTGATCACCTAGAGAAGCATCTTTAGGGAAATGGACATTCGTAGCTCTGCAAAAGGTCATGAGAGAAAAGTCCACTGCAAAATAGCAAAGTGGGTTGCAGCGCCCTCTTTTGGTGATAACAGAATGAACTTGGCTTTCTTAACGAGCAAAATTTCTCAAGAAACTTCACAAGTGAACTGCTCCTAGGCTGATTTTCAATAAGCATCCCAAATAAGGATATCATCTTTGCCGCTCTTAAGGAATTCCTAGACCAGGGGTCGTTGAAGTCTACGAGTCATAAAAGAGCCAAGGTTGCCTACCCCTGTCCTAGACATAGCCTAGATCAGGCTCAAGGGCTATGCAAAACTGCTTGTAAAACCATTGCTTATGTTCTCAGGCTTCCTTGTTACACACTAAGTCTGGGATAGGGAGTGGAAGATGCCCACAGGTGGGAAAATCTAAAGGATTTCCATGGCAGGGAACAATCCAATCTCACATCTGGACCGTACTCTTGCTTTCATTTGTAGTTTTGCAGCTGACATTTACCTCCAGAGGCAATTTTACTAAAGCGGGGGTCACAATTTCAATCTACCAAAATTTGGCGCCCATAAAAATTCCATGTCCACTACTTTCTCTGAAGTGTGAAAAATGTGTTTTGTTAAGAAAACAGCCTGGGTTACTGAGCGTGTCATTGGGTCTAGAGTTAGACAGTCACAAGTGATTCAAAGTAGTTAATCTACATGTAGTAGTTTCAAAGACTCAGACATACTGGTTTCTGCCAATACAGGTAGTACTTAAGACTACAATATAGTAGACTTAAGACTACAATTGAGCCCCCCAAAATTGTGTTGCTAAGTGAGAAATGTGTTAAGTGAGCGCTGCCCTGTTTTACGATTTTTCTTGCCACATCTGTTAAGCGAATCTCTGCAGTTGTTACATGAGTAACACAGCTGTGACGTGAACCTGGCTTGCCCATTGACTGTGCTTGTCAAAAGGTTGCAATCCCATAAAGCTCCTTGCCTTGCTCTTTGCAGGATGCTGCACCATATGGACGGCCTCACGGCTGCCCCTTACCTGGGCTGCTTGCATACGTTGCTTGGAAGGATAGACCAGGAACTCTTTCAGGAGCTGGACTGCTTGTGGAGAAGCATCAGGCACCACCTGCTCCAAAGGGATGGGCTGCTTCTCTTTGAAGGAGATTTTGTTGTAATCAGGCAACTCTGTAATCTCCTGTCCCAGCAAAAGAATAACAAGGGTGGGACTTGGCTATTGGTTTCTTCACTTTTAAAGGTCCTTGCTCCTCCCCTGGGCCCTAATCCTTGTGGGCAAGCTAATGGTTATGGGACTCACCGGCCAGGTCTTGTGATTAGGCGTGCCAAGCACCCGGAGGACACAACACAGCTGCTCAATGTCATTTTCTCCAGGGAAGAGGGGAGAATTGTTGAGAAGTTCCGCAAAGATGCAGCCAACTGCCCTGGTTAAAGAGAGAAAAGAGGTAGCTGCATCAAGGAATAAGGGGGAACATCCCTGTCATCCAAACATTCAATCCCTTCCCTGACCAGTTTCCTGCTTCTTATGCAGTGAAAAATCTTTGGTTCTTGATTTCAATATGGTTTTTCTCTATGCATAGTGAAGACTTACATTTCTTTTGTGTAAGTTTACATTCTTTTTTGTTTTCCTCATTTGGGAAAGGCTTCCCTTTTCTGAAGGAATATTCCTTTTCTTCAAGTTTCCTTAATATTGTTGATTAATCGGGATGACGGTAATAATGCTTTTCCTGATCTAGGAAATATATTGTAGCTAAATGTTGATTATTGTGATTGCAGTTTTGCCATCTTCGGCTTGGTGTCTTGCCGGCATCCTGCCATCAAAAACTAGGAAGGAGGGCGCAAGGGGGGACAATGGGCAATAAACATGTATGGGGATATGATGGGAAATAGGGAAGGGGGATGAGAGCTTGACGAAGACCAGGAAGCACAGAACCAGTTTGTCCCAGTATTCAAGGCCACGCACCCTGAAAATGGAATGTGGATTGGCCCAAACATGTCGGGTGATTCTCAAAACACTTATACGGCTCTCCATTGGCTGAAGACAAACTGATCAAGGGGGGGGGAGAGATAGGATGAGGGGGAAAAATTGTAACCTGTTACGTGGGAATCTTAGTTCTAGCCTGACTTTACTGCAACCAGCAACCTTTAGTAAAAGAGCCTATCATTTCACCAAAATGGAGTCGAGGGTCTTTCTTTCCTAAGGGACCTGATTGGGGCAGGTCTGACATAGTGATTCTGAGTAATGTCCAAGCACTTTGGACAAATTAGATTATTTTTGAACTTTCCTTCATCATTTGCTTTATAATTTCCTCTCTTAAAAGTATAATTATGTTGGATTCCCTTGGCAATTTTCCACTTACTGTGCCTGTCAATTATACCTGATGGCACTGTGGTCAAGGCTTACAGTCAGTTCAACAATTGCATCTCTAGCACTCCATGTTTGCCCTCTTAAAACAGCTCAGAGATAGAACAATCCAGACTCATTAAATGAAAGAGCTCAAAGCTGCTCACCACAGGTCTACACCTTCATCATACTTTCGAGCACCATATAGCAATTCGGGAGCCCGATACCACCTAATTGGGAAGAGTACACAAATCGTATTATACACAACTTTGTTCATCTCACACAATGAAACTTAACTCCAGTCTCCACAATTTTCACGTCTAGTGCCAATAAGGCTCCAGAGCCTTCTTTTAACATTTAGGACTGATTTCAAGAGTCTTGGAATAAGGTCTGAAGAGGGAAGCTAGGACGTCTCAGAATGTCATTGAACAATCTCGTCCAACTTCCATTACCACTGAACATGTTAGCTGTGGCTACTACGAGTTGAAGATGCAAGCATCTTCCAGTTTGGTTCTCTTCCCTGGCTAAATGCTCAATCCATACCCCATGCCCATTGGTATTTACCTGGTGGCCACTTGATGACTATATAGTCTCTCTCCATCACTGGTGAACACCCGGGCCAAGCCAAAATCAGCAATTTTCAATTGCCCTGTGGAACTGATCAGCAAATTAGCTGGTTTCAGATCCTAAAAGAAATTGAAAACATCTTAGAAGCTAAGGAAGAATGGGTTGCATAGCATCAATGGGTCAAATAACAAGGTCTGATCTTCCTGGGAGAAGAAAAGCATCCTATGGTCAAACTTGACCAAGCCTCACCCGGTGCATAATAGAGTTGGCATGGCAGAAAGCCACCCCCTTGAGCAGCATCATCATGTAGCCTTTCACTTGGGCTTCAGTAAGTGGCTGTTCAGAGTTGCGAATCACCTCGGATAAATCAGACAGCATATACTCAAATACCAGCACAAACCCTGTGCCATGAGGGAAAACATCTTTCAGTTGCACCACCTAAAAGAGAGAAGTTAGACAAGTTGGATTCAATATTGGGTAGCCTATCCCACAACTGATATCATGAAGAGTTGCCTATCCATCCTCAATATAGCGAGTTAAGTGACTGAATGTCTGAAGCAGCATGAGCCATCTGAAGGTGTTTACAAAGCCGTAAGTTATATTATTTCCCCGCCCCCAAACCTATATTTATGCTGGACACATTTCATTGAACTTCTTTAAGCTGGTCAGTTAATAACTGCACTGTTATTATTTGGCAAAATTCTCTTTTTGAATTTTGCAATGAGTTGAGATAGGAGCTTGCTGTGGAAACAGGCCAGTTAGTGCCGAAAACTGTTAACAATAACTTGAGGACGGGGGCTGGAATCTTACAAGGCAAACCAGAAATAGAAAAGGCAAAAGTACTGGCGAAAGATTAAAATGCTGCAGACGGTATTGCTACCAATATTGGTTATGATCACTTTATTGATGTCCTGTTTATTCCCCCATACAGGTAGTCTTCGACTTACAACTGTTCATTTAGTGACCATTCAAAGGTACAACGGTGCTAAAAAAAGTGACTTATGACCACTGTTCACACGAACGTTGCAGCATCCCCAGGGTCGAGTGATCAAAATTCAGGTGCTTGGCAACTGATTCATATTTATGACAGTTGCAGCGTCCCGTGATCCCCTTTTGCAACCTGACGAGCAAAGTCAATGGGGAAGCCAGACTCATTTAACAACCACGTTACTAACTTAACAACTGCAGTGATTGACTTAACAACTGTGGCCAGAAAGGTTGTAAGATGGGGCAAAATTCACTTAACAATTGTCTTGCTTATCATCAGAAATTTGGGGGTCAATTGTAGTTGTAACTCGAGGACCACCTGTTTCTTGTTTTGTTTTCAAGTTAGGAAAAAGCTCTGAACTATTTGCATAATTGTTAGATTATGGTCAGCATTCAAAACTACTTTCAGTCAAAGTGTCCAGCAACATGCAGTCGGTCCCATTAAAAGGCCGTCTTCCAAACTTGCAAGGGCTCTTCCTCCTGGCCTTGATTATGCTTGAGCAATGCTAAACAACTCACAACATACTCTTATTTGCACTGCACTGGACTGGCATGTGGTTGCTTTGAAAAATGCATGGATATGTGACAGCAGATCAACTTCAATTGTTTAAGATAGTTCCGTGGTGGTGAACCTATGGCACACGTGCCACAGGTGGCACACAGAGCCCTCTCTGTGGGCACGCGTGCCGTTGCCCCAGTCCCAGGCCCTCAGCTGGGTTTTATAAAATCTTTTCACTCTAGGCCTCCGCCGCCATGTGCAAAAAAAAAAAAGGTTCAATCAATCAATCTATTTCAACTTCTCACAGGAAAAAAAAAAGATCTCGTAAAGTTGGGATTGATTGAACTTTTTAATCCAACCCAGTCTGCTATTACCACCACAGCCATGCCCACCCAACGGGCCACACCCACCCAATGGGCCATGCCCACCCGGCACCCGACGATACATAAGTGGGTTTTGGGTTGCAATTTGGGCACTCAGTCTCTAAAAGGTTCGCCATCACTGAGATAGTTCATTGCATTGCCATGGTTTAATTATGGCTTATTGAGTAAGCCATTCACCCCCATGACTAGCTCTCATACACCTCCAGGCATCTTTCCAGACCTAGGCCACCCAGCAATGTGCCTCCCCAATACAGTACACACATCTCTGGCGCATACCCACATAGCCTTCCTAACCAACACAGCACCTTTACCACACCCTTACCAACCATTCTTCGCCTGCACCCCTCATGTACCTCTTTGCTCCTTCCCTCATCTAGCAGCAGCCACTGGCCTTTGCCTGCTGGCCTTTGACTTACTTCCAGCTGGCTTCCCCACTGACTTTCTCCCTGCAAGATCCCTACAAGCACAGTAAATAGAGGAGCCAGCCAAAATTCGAGGGATGGAGAAAAGGAAAAAAAGTCAGAACTGAAGAATGGAAGGAAGATAATGACAAGGGAGGGAGGGAGTAAGAAAGGAGGAAGTATAGAAGGAAGGTGGATGGTGGGAAGGAAGGATTTCAATGCTCCTTATCTACTTCCTACCAGGAATCTACATAGGGAAGCTGGCAGAAAATTGCTTCCATTCCCACTGCTTTTTTGCCCATCTGTGGTCATTCTGCTTCTCTGTTTAAGTAAGGAAATATCTCTGAAACAATGACCCAGTGGGGCATGGGTTATCCAATCATTAGATTAAAATATAGTAATTATTATAGGCAATTTTTATCTGTTTCTGGAAGATCAAGGGAGTGACAGCAAGTTGTTTCAATGGAGAGTTATGGCAAAGTTAAAATGGCTCAGTTTACTTGTAATCTTTATCTGAATTCCCAACACTCTCCCCCAGGTTATTATTATGCCTTAGTGCAATACATAAAACAGGCTAATTTGTTCTGAAATATTAGTTTACTGGAGGCCTAGCCTGAGATGGAATTCGAAGAAGCTGGTCCATGAATCGTCATTTCCACAAGCTACTCACGTGCTGGTTTTCCTCAATCTCCTGCAAAGCCTTGATCTCCCTCAGGGCTTGGTTGGGGATCCCATCCTCCAGCTTGCGGAGAGCCACTTTCTTCAGGGCCACAGTCTCCCCAGTCTGCCAAGTAAGAGAGCAAAATAAAAATTGAAAGTGGACGTTCATCCTGAGAACTTGAGAGAAAAAAACAAAACAAAAAACAACAAAGCTGGCTACATTGGCCTCAGAGATCATGAGGAATTCCACTTACTTCTATATTCTTGGCTTTGAAAACAATGCCGTGGGCTCCTTCTCCAATACGGCCAAGAATGCTGTATTGATCCATAGTACCTTCTCATACCTGAAACAGAAATGACAGCTCATCTGTTCCAGCCTGGGATTCCTGCACTCCTGTTGAATAATGTGTGATTTGTCTTTCCTTTTTTCTTTGTTAAAAGTATGTCTCAAAATTTCTACCTCAAGCTACATTAAATTGCTAACCTAACCCCCTCAAAAGTAAATACAATTTAAAGCAATTAAACTTAGCTTTAAAATCAATATAAAACTACAGAGTTCAAAAGGCTCGATATAAAGAGCTATGTTTGAAGACAAACTTTCAAATAGCAAAAAAAAGCAGGTTCGCCTCTCATCTTGCAAGTTGCAGATTTCTATCGGTATGGATTTGCACTATTTTTTTTTAAACTGGATTAACTAATTTGGCTTCCAACAAAGGAAATGTAAGACACTGAAGAAATGCAATTTACAAAAAACCCCACGTAATAGCCTTGATAGAATCAAAATTTCTAAATGGGGAAGCCATTTTGTTAAATCGATTTTAAAAACATTCTGTGAGTTAAATCTTTTACACTTATATTTGAATTAATTCACTGAAATCAGTGGGCATATTTGTTTATATACTCATTCAGTTTGGATGTCCATCTCAACAAGTGATTCTTGGCAGCAAACAAAATGAATCAAAACAAATTTTCATTATAATACACACATTAAAATGCACACAACAGTTGAGGATTAGGATTATAGAGCCATGGAGACTTGTTCCCCCAGGCACTAGGACAACTGGGAGTTGAGTTCAACACATACAGTATATATATTTAGGGTGGGAGCATAATATTATTTTAGTTGTATATAGTGGGTTTTTTTATGTAGCTGTTGTTAGACAGCCAGGGTAATATTGTATAAGACAGTGATGGCGAACCTTTTAGAGACTGAGTGCCCAAACTGCAACCCAAAACCCACTTATGCATTGTCGGGTGCCAGGTGGGTGTGGCCCATTGGCTGGGTGTGGCCCATTGGCTGGGTGTGGCCAATTGGGGGGTATGGCCCATTGGGTGGGCGTGGCTGTGGTGGTAACAGCAGACTGGGTGGGACTAAAAAGTTCAACCAATCAATTCCAACTTTGCAAGATCTTTTTTTTCCCACGAGAAGTTGAAATTGACTGATTGATTGAACCTTTTTTTTCTTTTGCACACGGCGGCAGAGGCCTAAAGTGAAAAAGTTTTATAAAACCCAGCTGAAGGCCTAGGACTGGGGCGACAGCGCGCGTGCCCACAGAGAGGGCTCTGAATGCCGCCTCTGGCACCCGTGCCATAGGTTCACCACCACTGGTATAAGATGAGTAGCCTTATAAATCTTTTTAGTATTAAAAATAAATCTGAACTCTCTCTGTCCCAGCACATATACAGAGTGGCAAGATTTTTAAAAAGTTAGAATTCCTGCATCTTCTTGGTGGTGTAAAAGAGAATTTCAAGCAAACCAAAGTAAACTTCCAAAATGCATCATAGGATTGTGGATTTCTCCAATGTTGATTTCAAGATTCTTTCACAAGAAATTATAGTATTGAGGAAGCAAAGTCAGGGTATTCTTTTAATTCCTTTTCCAGAACAATAAAACATGAAACAATCCAATTTATAAATTTGCCAATACATTAAAATAGCCCTTGACTTACAACAGCTCATTTAGTGACCAAAGTTACAACGATACTGAAAACAGTGACTTATGACCATTTTTCACACTTATGACCACTGCAACATCCTCATGGTCACAAAATCAAAATTCAGATGCTTGGCAACTGACTCATATTTATGACAGTTGCAGTGTCCCTAGGTCATGTGATCACTTTCTGCGACCTTTTGACAAGCAAAGTCAATGGGGAAGCCAGATTCACTTAACAGCCATGTTACTAATTTAACAACTGCAGTGATTCACTTAACATATGTGACAAGAATGGTCATAATAGGGGACAAAACTCACTTAACAAATGTCTTATTTACCAACAGAAATTTTGGGCTCAATTGTCATCAATAAATTGAGGACTACCTGTACACTGACTACAAATCCTATTATATGGGATGGGAGTTGAAGTTCAACATCAATCAGAATATAACAAGCAATAATTAATTCCTCAGTAATATGTGATGATAAGCTTGTTTTTATTAAAAGATTCAAAAACAAAACCAACTCTTGTTTAAGTGTGTTCCCCCCCCCCCTGTTATTTTCTTGATGAGAGAAGCAATTTTCTCAGTAACTGGGACCCGATTGCTCTGGCATATAATCTAGAAAGAGAAATATGCATAAAACCTATCCTAGATATATAAGGACCAATTTCCCCAGAAATCTGAGTTGAACTATTAGGAAAGTTGCTTTAAAGATGATAAATACCAAATTCCTTTCTACATGCTGAGATGATCCCATCATCCACCCCAACTTCTTACCGATTTTTAATCCAAAGCACGAACATAGGAATCAGTTTTAATCAGAAATTAAATCATCAATTTTAACATTTCTTCTGGATTAGACCATGATCTATTACTGGTCCCTGAACAGACTGCAAAACAGGATTTCACAGCAGCACTGTTCTCTCACTTCTCGACTGCCCCCAAACATATTCAGTGGTATACTACTGTTGAATATAGAGGTTCCTTGTTTTATAAAATATTTAACGTATTAATTTTTTGCAAATATACCTAGGATCTTTTCAGAGGCATCAACATTTAAGATACCGCCAGCGTAATATATTAAAGCAACCAACTGGATGGATTCTAACTCTATGCTAACTGCACGAAAGAAATACGAAGATCTGTTCCTACATACTTTCTCGTTAAGGTGTACGCGCATACTTAATATGCGAAACAGGTAAATTGCCTTTTTCTCTTTCTTACCAGTGCACCGCTTTTCCTAATGCAGAGCACCTCGGTGGTTGTCTGCGCCTTTTCACGAAAAGTATGGAATTTGTTCTCCTAACCTCCACTAAGCTTTTAAAGATAAAGACTCTGTAACAAAACAAAACAAAATCGTCTTATGCAAAACCCTATCAACCCCTCCTGACCTCATTAGAGTACCCACGCTCAGCGGATATTCACGCTCCAGGAAGATAGATACAGGACATCCAGCCCGCTTTCTCCGATCGGCTCCCTGAACAATCAGCCAAAAGGATCCCCGCTAGTCGCTTCCCAGAATGCCGCGCGGTCCCGCAAGTGGCATCCTTCGCGGCATTTCGACGACAGTTCGGGTTCTCCGTTGCAGGGCTTCTCAACACCAGCAACTTTAAGATGCGTGGACTTCAACTCCCACAATTCCATGCTGCCTAGGGATTTCTGGGATTTGAAGTCTACGCTGCTCTATTAACTTCACATAGGAATCTTTTGTAAAGGTGTGAGCTCTTCTTTGGCCGCTGGGGTTTTTTTTCAACCTCTGCTTCAAAAAAACCCCCACCAAACAAACCCGTATTTATTTACATATTTCGGGCAAACAAATCCTGCAAGTTACGGCAAAACCGAGGACTTTTCTGTCTTGCTAGGAACTCAGGCTGTCCTAGGGAAAGATTCATAAACTCTCCTAAGAAGGGAGGAGTATAGGATCGCAAAGATGTTAGTGGCTTCATTTGACATATAATCCAACATTTATCTTTATATTTCATATTTCTAAACCGCCCATCTCCAGCATAAAGGAGCTCTGATGCAGAGAGCAAGGAGGCTTCGCACATCCTCTGCCTGCTATGTTGTTGTTAAAAACAGGAATGTAATTTACACATCTCCATGAATCACAGTGTTTGGCCAAAACTCCAAGGTACGGGCGTATTGCTTAAGGTTAATCAATTTTGCTTCCTCGGAATAAAGACAGTATAATATCTAGCGTTACATATTTGAGGTAAATAAAAGGTTGCCACGCCTTAACGCTATAGGATGTCGAACTGGGATCGATAAACTGCAATTCGCCCCACGTGATGAAGACACTGCCACAAAAGGTGCGTTGAATAAGTATTTAGGTTGGTTGCGTACTTTCGCCACCCTTGCTTCAAGCGTGGAGGAGACTAATACGAACCGGAAATGATGGCTGTTTGACTGAGGATTTTCAATTTACCTCTTTGCCAAGCAGTTTTGTTTCGGCTTATAGAGAAGGGACTGCGTTGCCCAGCAACCCAACTCCAACGGTTCCTTAAGGTCCCCTTTCTGAAAGCAAAGTGCTGCGAAAGAAGTTTGTGCGTGAACGCTTTAGAGTTCTCTAGAAGTTTGGATAGCATAGTAGACAAAACGAACATAGGAGGAACAAGAATTAGAACATAATTAAAAAGGACTCATTCATTTGGGGACTTTTCTGTTTTTCCCCATTTAAACTGAACAAAAATCCTGGAAAACTTACATCCTTCCCTTATGTAACTGATCCTAATAAATATTACCAGCCTTTGGTGGATTTTGAAATTTCCACTCATAAATAGGACTTTCCTTTCCTAACGATGGCCATTCAGATGTTGCTGAACTACAAGACTGGTGGCTATCTTCTTGCTGGCTGAAGTACTGGGAGCAAGATCAAGTGAGCAATGCCTTCCCACCATCCACTGCCAGTAAAAGGGCAGGTTGTAATTTTCATCATGGGGAAATTGCTTCTTTGTTCTTTTGCTTTGTTTGAAAACCAGGATCACCGGAAGTGATTCACTTGCCACCTGCTGCCATTTCAGCTATGCAGAGTTCCAGTTCTACAGACGGGTTTTACCCTTTTGGTTGCCTGAAGATCTCTTGCAGAAGGACAGTGTTGGAAGCCCCCTAGAGCAGAGGTTTTCAAGCTTTGTCAGGCCATGAAGAGGTTAAGGAATATTCCCAAACTGCATGCTTCTAATTCCATTGCTCTGAAAATCTGAATTCAGTCAAGATCAATAAATATTCCCTATGTTTCTGTCAAGCTCATGTTGAAATTATTTTTAATTGCTTTCTTTATATTTGTCTAGTAAAGTCAACTTTTTTTCTCAGTCTGACCTAAGTTAGGAATTGACTACTGTAACTTTTTTTCTTCTCTTCTGCATTCTTGTCTGAACAATTAATAGTTTCTTTTGTTTTTAAGCATCGCCTCCTATGCAGACCTTTATCTATTCTGAGCTTTTATTTTCCTGACACCATCTCTGTCTCTGGTGAAATTTCCTATTCTCAATGAAAAGGTAATCTGGATGTGCCCAAGATAACAATATCCCTTTAATAATGCAATGCACTTAAAAAAAAATAAATAAAAGCCTTATTGATGGAAAAAATGTAACTTAAATTACAGACAAACCAGTTTACCCCTATGGGCTTTTTGAAATCCCAGTATTAGTCTACTACTGGTTGCTACACTAGCAAAGTTCTACTTTCAATACAGTATAAGATAGCCATCACAAAACCCCATTAAGCAACATAACAGCTACAGTCTATTCATATCTGGCCTCATTAATATATCGTGTATTACACCAACACACATACTTTGACATTATTCTCACTTCAGTGATACTGGGTCAATAGCAAACCTAGATTTGTCTAAGAGGACATTTTATCACATTTCACTCCTCACACCCTCAATTTCAATTGACACCAGAGCTTACATTGACAATTACGATTTCTACCACGTTAGTGAAGATGGTATTTAACAGAGGAGGAATTTATCATCAATGCAGAATGAGGTTGAGGAAGAGAAGGGTGGAAAGCATAACTGTATTCATAAGTCCAGTTAGAGACAGAGGGATTCAGATACATTTTCTACATGAGACAAAGGACAAATCAGGGTTCCCTCATTTCACCACCTGCTAGTTGAATCTTACTCAGTACTGACAATAGCACAAGCAGACATGTACCTTGTCTGTCAACCTCATCTCAGTAACTGTCTGTGGCTAATGATGGAATTGGTCCTGGGAAAAAGAAAACAATGGGATTTACTAGGACCCATCACTCTCCACTATTAATCTCTGCAACCTCAATCATACATATGGTAATTGTCTTTACAATGGATAACTAAGACTGAAAAGGAATAAGAATATGCTAGTACCGGTCATGTAGTCCCAGGGTGGGGAAATTAAGATAAAGGCACTGAAATATTGGAAATTTCAGCTATAGATTAATATCTACCACAGTATAACCACCCCTTATTCCTGTGCAATTTTCATACAGAACATACTCTTTTGCAAATCAAAGATACACCAGAATACACTTTGAAAATAAAACATAGCCCCTCATTGTTTTATAAGAACAGCAATAAAATATGTGTCACCACTCCTAGGACAGCAAAATAGGCATGATCTGTCTTTCTTTCTTTCTCTTTCTTTTTCCTTCCTTCCTTCCTTCCTTCCTTCCTTCCTTCCTTCCTTCCTTCCTTCCTTCCTTCCTTTCCTTCCTTCCTTGTCAAAGAGTTACAGAAATCTCTAGCTGTATCCTCTGTGGCTCCAACTTTTTTAACACTTCATCCCAAAGTGAGAAGCAGTGAAGGCAAAGAAAGAGAGACCATCAAAGCTAGCTCATATCCCAGGAAGAGTGGTGTCAGAAACAAAACCTGGAGGAGGCAGCCTTGTGTAGGTGTAGCAAGAGGGCTCTTTGGACAGAAAGCATAAAGGAGAAAAGCACAAAGAGGCCGTCTGGAGCTCTCCTACACAGACACATGTGTATACACAAATCAGTCAAAGCAAAGCTGAAGAACAGGCAGACTCAAAAGCTTGCACAGATACGGAGACATCTGCTGGTTTGCAGAAGGAGGGCTGGCAGCCAGAACTTTTGGTTCTGGCACCAAATCTGGCTGAGAGAGCAGTGAATTACTAGATTGTAAGGAGGTTATGATCAGGGCAGATCAAAGCTGCCAGAACAGTGACTTTGTTTCCAGAACTCTGAGCACTCGGAACATTTTTCTCCATTTTTCAAAAAAAGACAACAGAATTAATCCGAACAAAGAGGAGGATGCTTCCAGGCTCCATAGACCCTGCTGCCATGACTGGGACAGAGAGGTGAGAACACTTCAGCACAAAGGACAGGATCACAGGTAAGGAATAAGAATGGGGCCTGGGTGACTATTAAAGTTTGTTTAGGAAATGTTGTTGTAGGTAATGATTTATGGGAGATGTGGCAACCAAATAATAAACTATCAATATTTTATGGAATGTGAAATAGTCATTTTAAAAATGATTCAAATTCTCAAGCAAAATTAAAAAATCCATTTATCGTAGTTCCTGACATAAACAGTAAAAGAATCCCACTTAAACTAAGTCTATAACATTTATCACTTACCTACTGTATTACATAATAAAAAATTGCTCATTCTGCATTTCTGCCCACTTTTGCATTTCAACCCATCTAACGTGGGGGGTCTTCATAAGAAGCACTGTGTGCAGAGTATTTTGATGGATTGAAAAATTCAGACTGAATCTTTGATATTCTCAGTGCAGTGGGACAAAGCTCCCAAATTAGGAATTAGTTCCTAACAGCAGGAGAAACACATTTTGAACTCTTTGGTATAAAATGTGTCACTGGCACATTTTAATCCCCACCAGAGTAACAAATCCAGGACTTTGATTTCATTTGCAAAGATGTTCAAGGACCCCTTCCTTCAAAAGTACTACATTTCCATATGACTAGATGTTGCTTATGGTAACACTTGAAGTCACTAACCAATCAATACCTCTTTTTCTATTTTGGTATTAATACAACCCATTATTTATATAGTCTCTTTTTTTTAGCCTTTACTGTATAGCACACAGATAGGGAGCATAGAAGAGCTCAAAAAACTTAACAGAAGTTTATGAGAGCTAGATTACGAGAGCAGCAATTCTTGTTCTGTTAAACACTCGTCTCTGGAAGCAAATATTTTCTCTATACAGGCAGGTTTGAGAATTTGCTAATTAACATACTGATTTAAATCAAACTGTGAAAGAGGCTGTTCCCCTTCCCTTCTCAGTTTTTCTCTTGAAGAAAAGCATAGTGTTCCTGTGACCTCCCAGTTCGATTCTTGCTCCAACAAGGGTACAAGAAAGCTCCATTGCAATAAAAGCAGCATAGATGTTATTCTTATTTACAAAGACTGTTATTTAGCCACCATTTAGTAGAAAATTTTAAATATTTCTCTTAATATCATTTTACACAGCATGTTTTTATGGGTTAGATTTAATACTACATCATTTGTAGTTCTAGGGACCAAGTATAATCCTTTGTCAGTAAATTTAAATTTAACACACAAATAGTCTGTTGCAGAAGCGACTTGCCTGTGAAGCCTCCTAGATTGGGGCTGAAAGGCGAAAGCGGAAGCAGTATGCTCCATCCCATATTTGGGCTAGACCAAGTTGCCCTGATAGACCGGTCTCACCGGAAAACACTTGACCAAGTATAACATCATCCTTTCCTACTAGACAGTTTTTGAATAGAGTTACTTTGGAGGAATCAACTGACTTAATGACTTAACATTACATCATAAACCAGTCTTGGCATCTTAATCTAACAGTGCTTTTCATAGTTAAGCTGTTTGACTTGATCAAATGTGAAGACATGCTTTCTGTAAGCAGCCTTCTTTTGTGTAATAACCAAGAATTACTTGGGCTGGGTCTAATAAAGATGAAATTATTAGACTGGAATTTATATCTCTATCTTTGTTGTTGTTGTTGTTGTTGTTAGTTGCAAAGTTGTGTCTGACCCATCGCGACCCCATGGACGTTCCTCCAGGTCTTCCTGTCCTCTACCATCTTCTGGAGTCCATTTAAGCTCACGCCTACTGCTTCAGTGACTCCATCCAGCCACCTCATTCTCTGTTGTCCCCTTCTTCTATTGCCCTTGATCTTTCCCAGCATTAGGCCCTTCTCCAGTGAGTCCTTCCTTCTCATTAGGTGGCCAAAGTATTTGAGTTTCAACTTCAAGATCTGGCCTTCTAAAGAGCAGTCGGGGTTGATCTCTTCTAGGACTGACCGGTTTGAACGCCTTGCAGTCCAAGGGACTCGCAGGAGTCTTCTCCAGCACCATAGTAAATACATTGCTGAATTTTTCCAGGATTCAATTTCATTGAGTGATCTCTGGTTCTAGTATTTTGGGAAGGGGGAAATTGTTTCTCCTTTTTCACTTTGCCATGTATAGTTTTCTACACTTCTGCCATGTCCCCTCTCATTTGCCTTCTTTCTAGATTAAAATCCCCCCAAACATTCTAGCCTTTTTTCATAATAGATCCAGGCCCTTGATCATCTTAATTGCCCTCCTCTGAACCTTCTCCAGCTCCACTGTATCCTTTCTGAGGTGTGACAACAAAAAATGCACACATTATTCCAGATTGTCACACAAATTATTTATATAAGGACATTATATCTTATTATTCCTAACATGCTATTGCTTTTTTTTTCAGAAGCACACAGTGTTGACACATTCATTGAACTATTTACCATTAACTCAAGATCTCTTTCATTATCAGCCAATGCTAGCTATGATCCCATTAGCGTGTACAAATTTTGTTGTGTTCTAGATGGGGTTGAACTATTTTCTTTAACATCTCTTATTCCCTCAAGGTGCTTCCTCAACAGCACTTACTTGTGTTCTTCTGGAAGGCCAAGAGTGTGGGGTGAACCTCACCCCCGGCAGGAAAATAGGGCGTGAGCCAGCAGAAAACATGCTTCCTTGTTGCTTTTTCAAGAAATAGCACAGGTCATCTAGCAGCTGGGAAAATGGGTTTTTTTATATTATGAGTAATCATGCGTTTAGATCAGGCCTCTAAGTTTGCAGTTCAACTTATGGAAACTAATTTGAAGTAACATTAAGGAACAGGACAATTTCCTTCCCCCATAGATGCCTGCTGAATAACTGGGAATTAATCATGTAGACCAGAAGACAATTCTAGATAAACTGGAGATCCACCTCTCTTAATAATTCCAGGTTATTATACTACCAGATATTACTTTTCCAACAGAAAATCCCCAAAGCACAAGATCTATAGCAGTGTTTCTCAACCTTGCCAATTTTAAGGCATGTGGACTTCAACTCCCAGAATTCCACAGCCAGCATTGCTGGCTGTGGAATTCTGGGAGTTGAAGTCCACATGCCTTAAAATTGTCAAGGTTGAGAAACACTGATCTATAGATATGCTGAAAAATGAGAAGTCTTCTTCCTCAGTCATGCCACAGAATGAATGAATACATTAACACTGCCCCATAGAGCATCACAAAACCATTTGCATCCAAACTCTTCACTAACAAGTCATACCGGTAGTCCTCGACTTACAACTTAGTGACTTAGTTTGAAGTTACAACTGCACTGAAAAGTGACTTATGAGCATTTTTCACACTTACGATCATTGCAGCATTCCCCCATGGTCACGTGATTTACATTTGGATGCTTTGACGACTGACTCACAATCGTTGACAGTTGCAGTGTCCTGGGGTCATGTGATCACCTTTTGCACTCTTCCGACAAGCAGTCGATAGGGAAACAAGATTCATTTAACAACCGTTACTAATTTAACAAGAAAAGTCGTAAAACTCACTTAATAAATTTCTCATTTAGCAACATAAATTTTGGGCTCAATTGTGGTCCTTAAGTTGGACTACCTGTACTTTTATTTGTAAAAATCGACACACGAACGTATGTTTCTCTTGTTGAAAATAAACATTTACTCAACTGTTGTTGTAGTGAGGTTGTTTTGATTTTCCGAATAGATTCTGCCCTCTTTCATCTAGGCTCGACAAACAACAAACTCCTTTGAAACAAGTGTCGCTGCTGGTTGAACCTGCTCAAGTGCTGACTCAAAAATAAGGTACTGATTCAGGTCAGTAAGGTTAGTCCAAAGTAATAAATATTTTGTTTGAACTGGCAGCATAGAAAGCAGAGTCAGATAGCCTTCAAGCAATTCCTGATCAGTACTGGGCTGCAAATTGTATGTTAGCATAACCTTTCAAAAGTGTGAAAGTCAAGCAATGTAAAAGCGAAGGTTAAATAAGAAGTACCAGGTAAAATAGGATTCCATTTTCCTTTCCCCTTCTCTCTATGCAATCTCATCCCTTCTTTTGCAGATCTATCATGATGTGTCACCCCTTTCCAGCATTCCTAATGGTTTCCATCATTCTTATGCGGCCAGGATCTTTTGCTCAAGAGTTTCCCATTCAGAGTCAACATCATGATCAATATTGGTACCAGACAGCAATAGATCAAATCCCAATGATCCGTGAGTTCCTTCTGTTCTGGGAAAGAGGAGGGTTGAGTATACAAGCCTTCATTTTGGAAAACTTTTTGAGTTTATTGTCTTTTCCCAAGTTATCTGATCGGATAATAGTTTGTGCATTTCCTGTTAACATCACTGTTTGAGCACCTCCATTTGTTTTTACACCCAAATAGAATTACTGTATACTTCAGTTCTTAAAGTGTGAAGGGGAGAGTCTTCCAGATAGCATAGTGCTCCCAAAGTATCACAGGACAAAGCAACTCCACCCAAGTGATACCAAATTTGGTAATGCAAATAACAACTTCAAGTAACTATCATCTAGATCAGTGGTGGCGAACTTATGGCACGCGTGCCAGAGGCGGCACTCAGAGCCCTCTCTGTGGGCACTTCTCTGAACTGCTGGTGGCGGGCTGCGGAGCACCAGAGTGCGTCGATCGAGGGGCCGGCAGGCTGTGGCTGCTGACGGACACTGTTGGCCCCCATGCGCTCGCTAGCCTCTGTGTGCGGGGGCTGGTGGTGTCAGGCAGCAGCTGCCCCGGCCTTGCCTTGCCGAGATAATGGCCCCCCCACCCTGCCTCGCCTCACCCCGCAGGACGAGCCTCCTACCCACCACCCCAACTGCCAGAGACCCCCTGGATCTCCCCCAACCCTGCCCGGCCCCCACAGGCATCCTTCCCCATGAGCAACATCGAGGTGACCACACCCACCTTGGCCACACTCACCCCATCTGCCATATCCACCACAGCCATGCCCACCCAGTGGGCCATGCCCACCTGGCACCCGGCAATAAATAAGCGGGTTTGGGGTTTCAGTTTGGGCACTCGGTCTCTAAAAGGTTCGCCATCACTGATCTAGATGCATTCCAATTTGCTTGCAGTTGTCACATCACAAGAGGTAAAGTAGTGGATATGTGGGCATCTGTAGAAGCTGACACCAGATTAGAACCTTTACTCTTCTATGTTAGAAAAAAAAAGGTGCAGCAGATGAAAATCCTCAGTGCTGCTTCCTTTTCCAATCTTTCCTCTCAACTGCTCCCCACCGCAGATGGGGGCACCTGCAAAGTGATTGCTATCAAACGCTGCTGCAACCGCAACCATATTGAGGAACGGTCCCAAACTATCCAGTGCTCCTGTCTCCAAGGCAAAGTGGCTGGGACAACCCGTGGCAAACCTTCTTGTGTGGATAGTAAGTACTAGGAGCCAAGATCTTTCTTCCTCCTACCTAACCCCAAGTGGCAGGAAAACCCAAGTGGATATAAGGAGGACCAAGAATCTAAGCAATAAGAATCCTGGGAAGAGATTAAAACATGGATCCAAAATAAAGAAGAAATCCCCCCCCCACACACACCAAACATGCATAAACAGATATTGATGAGGATGAGGATAGCTTGGCAAGTAGATTGAAGAAAAGATGATTAAAGGGCTTGATAGTTGTAGCTTAATAGATGACTGTATGCATGTTCTATATTGGCTCTTTCAGGCCAGATATAAGTAGGGGTTATGGTAGTCTTAAAGTCCTTGGATGGCATTAGTAATTTATTATGCTAAAACTTCCATGATAAAGCAGGATATTTGATTCAAGCAGGGCAGAGACAAGTTAAGTTTCTGTTGCTTCAGCGTGGAATTCAAGAAGTTCTATCTGTCCCTGGTCTATAACCTCTTGATGCCAAGAGGCCCAGAGAGACTAGAGGCACTCCATCTTGACCACAAACCTACTGAATTGCCATATCCACGCTGGGCAAGCTACCAACGTCAATAAAGACCATGGACTTTAAGGAGGGATGGTAACAAGCGTCTCCCTCTTTTCTACAGCCTCCATTGTGACAGGGAAGTGGTGGTGTGATATGCAGCCCTGCCAGGCTGAAGAGGAGTGCAAAGCATTGCCTGACAACTCAGGCTGGATGTGCTCATTAGGAAACCGTGTTAAAACTACCAAGGTAAGGTCTCTCACAACCCTGGCAAAAGCCGTGTCTACACAGGATGCCACGACTCTTCCAGTAACTCAAACGTGTATCAAGTATTGTAAAGCTTTTCTCTTTCTTTCTTTCTCTTTCTTTAAAACCACTGTACAAGTAGTGGAGGAGATTTAATTTCCATTTAACGATTTATCCTGGCTTCTTTTTCAGATCCATCCCAGGAAATAAAGTCTGTTATCATGAAAAGCCCACCTCTGAAGAGGCCATGGCAGATTTCAAATACTGTAATTATCCATCAACTTCATGATGAATGCTAGTGGGTATGCAAACCTTTTGTCCACCGGAGAAGACAAAGCATCATAATGCTGGCTGCACTGTGACATTGCAGGCGACAGTGCTACTCTTTATTAAGGGAAACAGAATCAAAGATCTTTCCTTAACAGAAGGAAGATTTAGCCCTATTTTTTCTTAGAAACAAGTGGAGCAAGTTGGTTCAAATGTTTCTAAAGCTTCTTGTGCATGACTGCTGGGACATTTCCTATGTAACTATCATTTTTGTCAAACGGATAATTAAATTCTACAAAACAGATGCAAAAAAGCCAGTTTTGTATTTACATCTGTAATACGATACAGAGTCTTTCTTTACAATGATAATTGAAATACAAATTGCCGCACCATTGGGAGATCTTCAAGCTGGAGAAAATGGACTACTAGGTCTGTAAAACTTTAATCCTATCTTAATAGGCCTTTTGAATTCTGAATTGAGGTTCTTAGCCCACAAAGGCCAAGTGCATAAAACTGGAACTAAAATTATATTGCCAGGTTAGAGGTGGCTTGGCAGGGGCAGGAGGAGTAATGTCAATTTAGATCCCCAAAGGGCTTTGGGTTGTTTGGTATCTATAACTAGAGCACTATTTCAATATCCTAGATGGCTTTTTAGGCAACTAAGAGACTGAAGCACACTCTCTGTTCTGCCAGTCTGTCCTGGTTAGTTCTTCTGAAGATGGAACTGACACAGCATTTTATTGGAATAAAACTTAGTTCCAAGGGAGATCTACCCAGCCTTTTAAGGTGAGACAAGGCCACGAACCCTGTTTTGATCCATCGTCATTCCCTCTTCGTTGTTTTTTTTTTTTAAACCTTAAGCAACCAGCAACAACAGTACTATTAAATGAAAGAAAGGGGTGAGGATTCAATGTAGCAGCATCTCTTATTCTGGCTCAACAGCACACGGGGATCTGACCTACAATGAAGAAACCTATCACAGGATATCATCACTGCTAGAGTGGCAGAGTTTCCCCTTGCTACAATAACTCTTTCATCCAAGGTCTGGGAAAACACATTTCTTGGTTTACAGGTTTTTAAAAGATAACTTAAGAGGCGTTCCCATCAAACAGAGAAAATTGGAGGAGTCCTTCCTTTAGAAAGTCAGGAAAACAGCCTTTTAAAATTTGCCATAGTCAATTAATTGTAACTGCACACCCCAGTTCTTCAGGCAAATGTCATCCTAGGATTCCAAGTTCTCCTGATAAGCGTTGGTTCCGTCATCGTATGGAATTAATCCTGGGGCACCTCATTTCATCACTGCAAGCTTCTTAATCCCTCATAGAGGTAGTTATTATACAGCTCAAACCCCCAGCCATGTTTTCCTTGCCCCTCCCTTCCGCCAAACTTAAAAGTTAACTCTAAGAACCAAATCCCCTCCATGCTTTGCTTGCCCTCTTGGGTGAATGTCTTATTTTCAAGAGGAAAAAATCTTGCCCGATTCTAAAAATAGAAGTGATCCAGGCCCCACACTGGCTCACTGATAATGTCCATAGCCTGTAAATCCTGTAGGCGGTGAACCATCTTTGGGAGGCAGTTGACTAGGATCTTCTCCAAAGGGATTAGCTAAGAAGAAAAGAAGGACCCATTAGTGATACATGAAAATATAGGACTACTATTAATTCATGATAAGGAGCAGCAGAGGAAAACTTTCTGAAGCAGAAGTAACAACGGTGAAGCCAGGAGGAAAGAAGGTGGGCGTTTAAGGGAGAAGTGATTCATTAAATTAAGTGAAAAATCTCAACTTTGACTATTAGAAAATTCAAAAGAGGTTGAAATGTCAATCTGTAAATAAAGAAGAGGAGGGTGCCAGACAGCATGGCAAGAAGTGTAACTCTGGAATACATTTATAGAACCATTCGCAAAATGCCATTGTCGTAACAAATTGTGTTAAAATACAGGAGATGGAGGGGACAGGCATGTGGCATGCTTCCTGCCCACAGAGGCACCAAGATCTGAGATAAAAAAAGGGAAAGATGTGGAAATCAGGAAGAGACATTTCTTACACTTTGGGTAACTGCAAAGTAACATTATCTTTTGACGGGGGGGGACTAGAAAAACCAAAACCTCTTTCACCACAAAGTGGAACTGACTTCACCCCACTTTCCCCAGCTTCTAGCGCCAACTGGTTCATAAGATTCTCACTAAATTGTATCATTACAAGGTGATAGACAAGGGCAGGCGCATTAATATCTGGCTCTTTGGATTTTGAACTACATCTCTCTCGCTATTGATAATGCCGGCTAAGGCTGCTGGGGATTTATTTTTCAAATTTATACAGCCACCCATTTCACTAATCAAGTGACTCTGGGAGGCATATACAACAAAGTGTTTGGAGGGCCGCATACTAAGTAGTATGAAAAAGTATGAAAAAAGTAGTATAAAACAGTACTCCAAATATATTTTCCAGGATGTAATGGAGGCTTCTAGCCCTCCAGATATTATTACATTTCAATTCCAGCATTCCTGGAATCAAGGCAAACAATGAAAAGGAACTAGGATTTTTCTTGCAACTACATTTGGAGGTCCACAGATCCCCCAAATCCAAATCCCCCCCTCCTTCTTGGACCTTTTATTCTCAGAATTATAACTTACGGTTTTGGAACTGCTGGGCTGTGTATCTTGTCAACAAAATCCCCACACCTTCTATCAGGGCAAGCAAGATGCCTCCCATCATAGCAGAGCCCACCATGGCCAACGGCCCACCTAAATGAAAAAGCAGTCAGTAAGCCCCAAGTAAGCAATCAGAAAGTGATGATAAATCGGTGATGCGTATTTGGCAGAGCTAAGAAACACCACTTACTGCGCGATGCTAATACAGCCCCAGTGAGTGCCCCACTGGTAATGGAGTTCCAAGGATCTTCTTTACCTCGCATCTTCACCAGACCACAGTCAATGGTGGAAAAAAGCCCACCCCACACTGCAAAGCTCCCTGGGAAGAGAAAGAGAAAAAAGCCTTTGGAATAATCAGTTGGATGTTGAGTTGTTCATAACTTGCATTGAAAAAAACCATTGTCTGGTACTAAGCAATTTTAATATAAATACTTGTTTGATGCACACGGAAACTGGATGAAAATACACCAGAATCTTAAAAGTTATTGCCAAAGATACTCAGTTTCTCAAAAATGGGCAGCAATTAAGATTCTACTTTCTGAGCAACTGATTTCCAAATTTACTGTATTACCTGAACCTTGAAAGACAGAAACAACTCTTTGCCTTTTTTAAGCATCTGCAATCTCAAATGTTGCGTCAACTTCTTGAAAACAGAACCGTATGAATAAACAACTTAAGTAGGAAAGCGTAAAAAATTAAAATGACTTAGATTGATTTTTTATTCTGTTTACATTGGTATTTTTAAACATGTGATCTCATTCTACAAACTGCTGCACAGGTATAGGATACATGATAGCTTACTATAAATAAATAGATCTCACAGCAGATCACTGCAGGTAATGGTCTCATAGATGCAAGTAATCAAGTCATGTGATTGCAATTTGGGTGCTTGGCAACCAGCTCATATTTATGACAGATTACAGTATCCTGCAGTCACACGATCACTTAACAACCCAGTAATTCACTAATAACCATTATAAACATTGTTGCAAACTAGGGTCTGACTTAGACTTACAACCACAACAACGTAATGACAGAAATTCCAGTTCTAATTGTGGTAGTTAGTGGAGGACTACCTGTAATATGAACTTAGAAATTACTATTACGGGTAATCCTCAAGGAAAAATGGAAATTGGGACCAAGATTGCTATTGCTAAATGATGTGGTTGTAAAGCACGATGTCAAGTGACCACATCACTTAGCAACGGCAATCCAGGCCAATCCCAGTTGTCATCATAACCCCAAGACACATGGGTCATTAACTCAGAAGTTAAGGGAGTCTCAGGTAAGGAACCTGGGCTGGTACAGTGGGGCGGGGTGCCTTGGGAGGCTTGGCACAGGCAATGGATGAATTGGGAGGGTGTGTGTGTTGTGGTGCAGCACAAACTTATAAAGGCTAGGGAAAGAGGGTGTAAGGCAGTGGTGGAGAACCTATGGCATGCGTGCCAGAGGTGGCACTCAGAACCCTCTCTGTGGGTACGCATGCCACCACTGCCAGCAGTTTGTGCAGGTCCATTAGGCCGCTGCCACTGCCCAGAGTGGCAGACCCACCAGGCACCAAGGTGGTGAAGCGGTCAGCTAGCAAGCTCGAGTAGAGGTGATAGAGCACGCCACACCCAGCAAGCCAAAGGCCACCTCGAGCAGGGAAAGCCAGATCCCCATCAGCACCATGGCCCCCCAGTCCCAGCTAGGATTGCGTGCCTCCCCCCTATCTATGCTGGGCCTCCTGCCCACCGCCCCACCCGCCAGAGACTCCCTGGATTTCCCCCAACCCTGCCCAGCCCCCACAGGCTTCCCCCCCATGAGCAACATCGAGGTGGCCATGCCCACCCCAGCCACGCCCACCCAGTTTGCTGTGACAACCGCAGCCATGCCCACCCAGTGGGCCACGCCCCATGCCCACCCCCGAGGGCACCACAATCCTAATGTGGCCCTGGCACTTTGCGATAAATAAGTGGGTTTTGGGTTGCGGTTTGGGCACTCGGTCTCTAAAAGGTTCGCCATCACTGGTGTAAGGTATGTGCATGTGTGTGAGCACTGGGAGGGCGGGGAAGGAGAGTGATAGCGAGTGCAAGCGAACAGAGGGCATGGTGGTTGGGGAGGAGAGGGACTTATCTGAGCAACTTGTGACCTTCCCTGCCAGTTTCCCCATATAGGAAGCTGGCAGAGAAGGTCGGCAACAGTGGTCCCGTGACTGCAGGATGCTGCAACCCGTCATAAAGTGTGAAATGGTTGCCAAGCACGTGAATTTTGTTCATGTGACCGTTGCAATGGCTGGAACTTCAAGTATATCCCTTTGTCCAGTTGCCATCGTAATTTCAAACAGTTGCAGAATGAATAATCCTAACTCGAGGTCTACCTTTACTTGCTTTACTCAAATTATTTATAGGACTGCAGTGTTCAAGAAGAGAAAGACCAACCTTCCCCGATCTGATGCCTATCACAGTGATGGCGAACCTTTTAGAGACCGAGTGCCCAAACTGCAACTCAAAATCCACTTATGCATCGTTGGATGCCGGGTGGGTGTGGCCAATTGTGTGGGTGTGGCCCATTGGGTGGGCATGGCTGCAGTGGTAACAGCTGACTGGGTGGGACTAAAAAGTTCAATCAATCAATTCCAACTTTGCAAGATTTTTTTTTTCCCGCGAGAAGTTGAAATTGACTGATTGATTGAACTTTTTTTTTGCACACGGCGGTGGAGGCCTAAAGCAAAAAGGTTTCATAAAACCCAGCTGAAGGCCTAGGACTGGGGCAACGGCGCACGTGCCCACAGAGAGGGCTCTGAGTGCCGCTTCTGGCACCCGTGCCATAGGTTCGCCACCACTGGCCTATCAGATATACTGGATGTCCACGTCCAATGTATCAAGCTAGTATGGCTGTGCTAGAAATTCTACAAACTGGTCTAACACATCTGAAGGCCACCAAGCTGGAGAAGATTTCAGTTAATTCCCACTTTCCACTGCTTGGAGTGTTTATTTTTAAAAATACATACCAGGATTGGGAAAGAACTCCAACCAAGCACTCCATTCTCTTCAGAATAATATATAAGTTGTATAGGAGTTCAAACACATTCTGGGCTAAGTGAAGCCACCACCCATTCTCTGCCTGGTATCCTCTCTTTTCTCCGTCTTTTGCCACCTACTTCTTCTCTTTCTCCCTCATCATAGGCTGGGCAGACAAATCTTACATGATGGCTTGCTGAGACATATGAAACCAGGGTAATGGCTGAAGGACACCCCCCCTCCCGTTGGATTAACTGATTTCAAAATGCAAGGTCCATGCCGGTGATGTTTAATTTCTCTTCATTTGAGCCATCAAAAAGTACTTTGTCTGAAAGAGGTGATCCATGTCTAGAAGACTATGAAGGTCTTTATGCTGCAGAAGATTCACTTCCAGAAATGAATAAACCATTTCTCTCAAATTCTAAGATCAGCTTGTTATGAAGCAGCAGAACATTCTGGAAATAGACTACACAATTTTGCATAGCTCTATCCCAAATTTATATTCTCCCCCTTTTCCCCCCAGAGACTTAAATCTTTATAACAAAAAAGTGATATACTGTAGGTCAAGCTGAAACAGACTGATCCAATGTCACTCCTCTGCTTCAACAGCGTCAGAACTTTTCTGGTTCTCCCTGATCTTTATTCAAAACATTAACCACTAACCAGCCCCTCCTTGATAACGAACTCCTACTACTGTAATCTGTTGGTGTCTGCATATCCTATGACACCCATTTCCCCCTGCCAAGCCCCTCATCTTACCTCCAATCTGTGGCGCTCTGACTCTGATAGCATTGATGCTGCCTCTGAATCGATGCCTGACACCCTGAATTTTTTTTTTAAAAAAAAAGCAGAAACCCTTTTGGTTAACCAATTCCATACTTAAAGAGGACTCATAATTCAAGCAATGCATGTAGAACACACATTTTAGGATTTGGTAGTTTTATCTGAACTTCTCTCATTATAGTCAGGCTAGTATCTTTCAGAAGTATTGAATACAAGTGCCCTCATCCCTAAAACTCAGGCAGATGAGAATTGTAATCCCAACCCTGTAGAGCAGGGGTGTCAAACTCAATTTCATTGAGGGGCGCATCAGCATTGCGGTTGCCCTCGGGGTGTGTGTGTGTGTGGCCAGGGTGGGTGTGGCCTACTGGGTGAGCATGGCCAGCTCTACATTGTTCGTGTCAAGGGTGACTGTGGGGGCCTGGGCAGGAGTGGGACAGATCTGAGGGTCTCTGGCAGAAGGGGGTGGAACTGGGGCAAGCGCCAAGGCATGGTCCATTTCTTCATTCCTCACAAAGGGTGACACTCCCCAGCATGCACCCAGGGGGCGGGGGCGACACAGCAGGGGCTGGTTCCTTGGTGTTTCTAGACGGCCTTGTGGAGCTAAGACTGAATGCGTTTCAGCATAGAGGGCCACCACAAAATTGTACATTGGCTCCCGGCCGGCCTGGGCCAGGGCCAAGGCAATGGGGGCCGTTCCCTCACTGTTTCCAGGATGGCTTCGCGGGCCACATGAAACCACTTTGCGGGCCGCATCCGGCCCCTGGGCCTTGTGTTTGACATGTCTGCTGTAGAGGGTATCAAGCTGAGAAAAATAATACTATATTTATGAAACAGATTTACCAATAATCAAACAATAACTGACATTAAGAATGTACTGTTTGGATGATCAGAGAAATTCCAAGCTCAACCAATAAGTAACAAGACTGCAGAGCAGTAAAGATACATATGGATGCAAACAATAGCCATTTTTTCAAATTGTTAAATCATAAAGCTAAATATTATACATTAAATCCCAGCACTGCCTCTAAACTTATTATAGCAAATGTCATTGAAACAAGAACGTTGACTCTACACACTCCATTTCCTCAATACAACACATGCTACTTAAAGGGAGCAAAACATAATAAAATCAAATGAAATAAAGATTAAAAATAAAATATGTAGAACTCACCACTGGAGCATTGCGAAAGCCTTTGACTGCTTGAAAGACACCCCCGCCAATCATTCCCATAGTAAATGCACCACCACAGTCGTCCACAATCCGCCAGGGGCTGTCAGATAGAAACAAGTTAGTGTAGGTTCTTCACATAGGAAGCTCTGTTATGCTAAGAATTTATGTTTAATTAAATACTACAAATATTTAAATTTAATTTTTCTGAAATATTGTACTACCTCAATATGATTCTGATATGTATTACTGATGCTTTAATATAACAAATGAAAATTGTTGAGACTGGCAGCCAATAAGTGAGCTCCTTTTCAAAGCACACATACGTGCACAAACAAGTAATCAACAATTTACCAGCCTACGTGTAGACACATACACCAGCTTGGGGAAAAGTATAGAATAGTTGCAACAGAATATCACCTGCATAGAGAGCCCAGATGCTAGTATATTGAGCTGCTGCCCATACAGTAGTAGTTCCCTCTCAAAAACCTCACTCCCTTGACAACCAATTCATGTGAATTCTCTGCTTTTATTTATATTTACAAATATCCACCCATTACATTTGATCTCAAATGTATTAAAATACATTTTTACTTATTTGTTTACATGTAATTTCTAAAATAAAACTATCATAGACAAAAATATTTTAAACAAGTTTTAATCATAAGGATTGCAGAAATTACAGGAGGCTGAAAGCACTCTACACGTGATAAAAGTTACTTGATACAGATACTGACCCACACAAGTGTTTCCTAAACATTTCAGTACATGTTGAAATGCAGCCACAAATATGAAACATCTCTCTGAATAAAAGACAACTGGGTTGTTAACAACAACACCAACTACAGGTGGTCCTCGACTTACGACCACAATTGAGCCCAAAATTTCTGTTGTTAAGTGAGACATTTGTTAAAAGTGAGTGTTGCCCCATTTTAGGACCCTTCTTGCCAGTTGTTAAGTGAATCACTGCAATTAAGTTAGTAACACTGTTAAGTGAATCTAGCTTCCCCATTGACTTTGCTCATCAGAAAGTTGCAAAAGGTGATTACATGATCCTGGGACACTGCAACAGTCATAAATATGAGTCAGTTGCCAAGTGTCTGAATTTTGATCATGTGACCATGGGGATGCCGCAATGGTTGTCATTGTGAGAAACGGTCATAAGTCACTTTTTTCAATGCTGCTGTAAACTGTTGTAAGTCAAGGATTACCTATATAGTTATAACAGCATCCACTTAATCTACAAGTTCCTAATTGACTGATTACACAGACATGTGGGCAGTGGTGGGATTCAAATATGTGAACAACCGGTTCTGTGTGGATGCCGCTTCCGGAAGTCCATTCTGGGCCTGGGCAACAAAAAATTAGCTACCGGTTCTGCCGAAGTGATGTGAACTGGCTGAATCCCATCACTGCATGTGGGCTGATAAGTGAAGATGCTCAAGTAGCTTTTGGCAGTGGTTTGCTCTCCAAACTTGTTTCTTTCAATTTAGTTTCTGAACATTACATTACCAGACTAGGTAACATCAGCAGCAGGATTTTCTTCTCCCATTTTCCTTAGCTTATATAGGAAAATAGGAGAAGAAAATCCCGCTGATGATGTTGCCAAGTCTGGTAACGAAACGTTCAGAAACTAAATCAAAAGAAACAAGCTTGGCGGAGCAAACCACTGCCAACATCTAAAACACAAGACTACAAATGTTTTCTATTATTATTTTCAAAATGCTCCAGTAGTACCCCAATAGTCATCCCAAAGCACTCTACACCAGAATACAGCAGTAAAATACATAAGAGAGCGGGCAGAGAGATGGAGACGGGGCAAGGAAACCCGAGGATACACACGCCCACTGTTTGATCACATTCGCCGGGTGACCTTGGAGCGATTCCTCCCCCTTCTATCTTCCTGCCCAAGAGTTGTGCTAAAAACTGAAAAGCCGGCTGGTTCCTTTGTGACTTTTACGCAACTAGCTTCCGAAACTGCGTTCTGCCCTTGCTTGCTTCTGCAACTAGGAGGGGAGCAAGGAGAGGGGAGACAGCATCCAAGTATATCAGTGTTTCTCAACCTTGCCAATTTTAAGGCATGTGGACTTCAACTCCCAGAATTCCACAGCCAGCAATGCTGGCTGTGGAATTCTGGGAGTTGAAGTCCACATGCCTTAAAATTGGCAAGGTTGAGAAACACTGAAGTATATCAATGTAAATAAGTCTTATAAGTGCTAGGGCTACTCTAGCAAAAGCCACGGTGGCGAGCGAGGCGCCAGTACAGCTCGAATCTCCCAGGCCAGGGGTAGGCAACCTTGGCTCTTTTATGACTCGTGGACTTCAACTCCCAGAATTCCTGAGCCAGCATGGCTGGCTCAGGAATTCTGGGAGTTGAAGTCCACGAGTCATAAAAGAGCCAAGGTTGCCTACCCCTGTCCCAGGCTTTTAGGCTGCGGGTTAAATTCCTTCTCAAGAATTCCCTGCACGGAGATGGGAGGGAATCCGATGGCTTTCTCCGCTGACCTTGAGCTACCTCACAGGGGTGTTGTGATGGATGCAAAATGGGACCGGCCCTCCCGCACCTTGCAGAGGAAGGGAAGCGAGGGAAAGGAGCAGCTGAGCGAGAAGGAAGGAGGGGCCAACTGAAAGGAGGAGCCCCGACTACGGCCGGCTGGGAGGGCCTCCCCAAACGTCCTTTTCCCCCGCGGCCTCGAAGGAGCCGAAGCCCGCCAGCAAAAGGTGCGACACGCTCGGTCGCTCGCTTACGAAGCCGGCCCCCGAGGCAGCCCCCCCCCGCTCCCACCCCCACCCCTCGGTTACCAAGGTTCCCGGGCATATTCCTCCATTGCTCCCGGCCTTAAGCTCGATGGCTCACGCGAAAAGGAAAGACGCCTCCGGGCGGGTCACGTGACCAGCGCCTATTGGCCGGCCGGGTGCACGTGACAAGAGTCCGAATGCATTCGGGCTTCGGGAAATAACCGAAGGTAGCCTACGTCACTCGCTCCTTGGTCGCAGAAGTGGGAAAGCGCGGGTGAGGGGGCGTGGTTTTCAAATGCTAATTAACCCAAGAGAGGGAGGAGTTACATCACAGAGCGGGCCTATCGAATGACCGCGGGAGGTGCTGCTCTTATTAAACCGTAGCTTCCCGCCTCCGTGTTTGTCTTCGGCCGCTGAAGATGCGAAGGGCGGGGTCAAACGATGCTATCGGTCTGTATTTCGTCACTACCGGAGGAACAAACCAGCTCTAATAGGCTAAGAGGGCGCCGAAGAGGGTGGGTCCAAAAAAATTGAGCCCTTTTTCCCTGGGATTGGTTGGTTGATTTTCATTTAACGATGACGTTTGAGGAGGCGGGGAAAAGCTTATGGGGGGGGGAAGAGAGCAATTCTGTTGGGCCGCGGATTGGTGTAAATGTGTCACGTGTAGGTGGTTCCAGGAGCAACAGGAACGGCTGTGGATCCGGTAATGTGAAGGTCTGTTTGCCAGGTGACCGGGGTTTTTCTTGAGCGCGTGCGGGCGTGTGCGTGGCTCTCTGGGGCGTTAAGAAGGTGAGACTGACGGAAATGTAGAAGAGTGAACTGGGACTGGCCGCCCAGTGAGCATTAATACTGCCTGAGCTAAGCTTTTTTCAAGAATCACTTCTTACACAGAAACGACGATAATAAATAGAGCCCTCGGACACAGGTTCTAAGGCAGGGGTAGGCAACCTTGGCTCTTTTATGACTCGTGGACTTCAATTCCCAGAATTCCTGAGCCAGCCATGCTGGCTCAGGATTTCTGGGAGTTGAAGTCCACGAGTCATAAAAGAGCCAAGGTTGCTTACCCCTCTTGTAAGGTCTTGGAATTTTAAAAGTGGGATAAAATATGTTAAAGGTGGAAAGAACTCTCGTGTTTGTGCTCTTCAATTATATGAGGACAGGGTGTAACTTTTTTTAAAAAAAAATCACGGTTAGAATAAATATGATCATTTTATATGTTTATGTTTATGTTTATTTAGATTTGTATACCGCCATATCTCCCTTACGGGACTCAGGGCGGTGAACAGGCGATAATAAAAATCACAATAAATATCTATTCTAAAATCAAATTAAATAAATAAAGGCCTGCTCTAAAATACCCCATATAAAAACCTATACTAAAACCTAATTAAGACTACGCCAAGTCTTAAAAACTGAGCCAGCTAGGGTAGACCCGAGCAATTCTTCCTCTTGAGAATTCTATGTAATGAGCGTTTTGGTTTGCACGCAGTCCTGACTGTAGTCTGATATAGTGTGGCAGCAATTTTATCAGCTTTGGAAGAATTGAATCAGAACATTCCTAAGGCACAGGTTAAACTTGCAAGATCCTGTTACAATTACCCAATCTCAATAAAATAATTTTAGCCTTAGCCTAGTCCAGGGGTAGGCAACCTTGGCTCTTTTATGACACGTGGACTTCAGCTCCCAGAATTCCTGAGCCAGGCTGGCTCAGGAATTCTGGGAGTTGAAGTCCACGAGTCATAAAAGAGCCAAGGTTGCCTAGCCCTGGACTAATCCGTTCATGGGGGGGGGCTTGTCACTAAGCTATCCATTTGATGTCATTCCAAATTCTGATTAAGTTGGTGTAAGGGAGTCAAATACACTTTTAAAGACTTTACTTGATTCCTAGGGGAAAGCATGTAGACAGGAAAAAGAGAAAGTGGTGCTCTGATGGATTATATCTAAACTCATCCATAAAAGTTGAATCCCATATATTCCGAAAAATAGTATTAAAGAATTCTGGTATAAAAGCTTATGGAGTAGTGTGCATGTTCTGAAAAGAGCAGTGACAAGTGCTAAATGTAATGGATGACATTTCTCTCAAGTATAGAAAACTGATTGGAAAAGCAACATTTGCACATCTGCTCCAATCTGATGCCTCTGCCAGTGGCATTGCAGTCCCGCCTGGCCAGGCGAGGCCTGCTGAAGCATGTAGAACCTGGTAAGTACAAAAAAAAATAAAAAAATAGGAGGAAGATAACTTGTATAGGATGGCTACAAGCCAAGGATGAGCATCTGGGATAGTACCGAGGAACTAGAGCTGGTTAGTTCCGAAGTCGTTAATTTGGGTCTCTAAAATTGGTATCCATTATGGATTGTGTAATTTTGCCACCTGTTGACCCCATCTTTTTTTTCAAGCCTGATCCTGTTTCTTTCCACATAAGAGCCGGAAGAGGAAATAATTGCAGAAGATTATGATGATGATCACGTTGATTATGAAGCCACAAGAATGGAGAGCCTGCCACCAAACTGGTACAAAGTCATCGACCCAGTTTGGTAAGTGTATAGTGAGTGCTCAGTATGCCCTGCTAATGATTTCTATCAGAGTGTTTTTAGTCTGTGCTCGCAGGATTGGTGCCAGTATTCATCAGTGCCTGATCAGGGATGTGTTTCTGGTTCTGTTAGCTGATCTCTGAAATATGAAGGAGGAAAGATGTGCTGTCTATAGCCATCACTGAGTTGGCACACTTTTTATTGTTTTTCATATCTCTGATCCAGCAGAATATTATTACTACATATATGCTTCCAAATCTACAGACTTTGGGGTACATACAGTATTAATAGGATTCAAAAGCAAAAATCAATTAATATAATGTGGAAGTAACTAAATGCTTTTCTGAAAAGTTAAGCTTTTATGGCTGTCTGAGAACACTGAGAAAAGAAGGGGTGGGCCAATCGATATTACTGAGTAAGCTGTTTGTCATAAGAATAGAATAGAAGAATAGAATAGAATAGAATAGAATAGAATAGAATAGAATAGAATAGAATAGAATAGAATAGAATAGAATAGAAGCTGGAAGGGACGTTGGAGGTCTTCTAGTCCAGCCCCCCGCTCAAGCAGGAGAACCTATATACCATCTCAGACAAGTGACTGTCCAGTCTCTTCTTAAAAACCTCCAGTGATGAAGCACCCACGATTTCTGAAGGATATTCTGAAGATTTACATGATAGATGGCATTTATTAGGTTGGGAGAAATCTTCTGTGCCTGAAAATTTTGATTATGTTACCTAGATTGGAGTCAGAATATTATACCAACCCGCGAATTATGTTAACCATGATGATGATGATGATGGGTCATGAAGTTGGTGTTGACTCTTAGTGATCACATAAATAGGTTTTCTATGGGATAATCTTTCACCAGCTTGGTCCCTCAGGTCTTCCTGAATAAATGGTGAATATGTACCCATTATTGCTGTAATTGAGTCCATTCAGCTTGCTGCTGATCATTCTCTGCTTTCTTCTACCTTTTCAAGACAGCTAGGTATTTGCATAAAGTGTCTAAAATATGACCATTTGTGCCTTAAGTGACAACTCTGAATTGATATGTTACTTGATCCATATGTTTGTTTTCTTATCTTAAGCTGTCTACCCTGCTTCTTGAAAAGTCCAACCGTTGCTTTTATAACATGTCACAGGGAAATCATTGCTTGTATGATTTTGATCTTGGTAGATATAAACACATCTCAGCATCTGAATATCTTCATGGCTATTCTACCAAGTGCTAGGCTGCAGCTTATTTCTTGACTGCTTGATAGTAGTAGATAGCTAATCCTAAAAGCAAGACCCAAGTTTACATCCCTCAGCCATGAAGCTCACTGGGTGACTTTGGACTAGTTACCCTGCAGTCTTGGGTTTGAGGTTTTTGTTTTTCAGGGAGGTGTATTGTGAGCAGGGAACTGGGGAAAAAAAGTGGGATATCAGTTTAACTAAAATAAATTCAGGTTTTTAAAATTCCAATGGCTTTTGACAAAAAATGTTGAGAATAAAGTTCATTGTTTCCGGAGAATGGGGAAAATGGAGGTTTGGAACTATTGCTATTGGCTCTAGAGGTTGCAAATATGATTCTGTTCTGCTTGTAGCTGCCTGCCTTATTATTGGAACATAGAAAGTGATCTCGTTTCATGGCTCTCGCCTAACGATCCCAACTCGGTGATGACCAAAGCAGCCAAAAAACTGAAGAACAGCTTAGGTAAGAATGTTTTGTTTTATATACGGTGTTTTGGGTGAGTAGGTCATAGTAGGGAAACTATAGACTGGTCTTAAATGAATATGGGCATTAATCTCCAGAAGCACAGAAAATTTGATCTGGCCTCTGGTGAGAATGAATGTCTGCTTAAGGCTACAGAGTGAGGATGGATAATCTATGGCCTCTGGACACCCCTTCTGCACTGGCATTTTTTGTTGTTGTTGTTCTTAAACAAAAATGTACATAAGTAGCCAGCATATATAGGTAGTCCTCAGTTAGAGACCACAATTGGAACCAGCAACTCAGTTAAAATAAAGTGGTCACTAAGTGAAACCGTGACTGTGGGTATGATCCTCCTCTATTTTTAAAGGAAAAATAAATTCTAGAACCCTTTGAGTGGTGCATTTTTCCATCATTTTGAGGTGGGAAAACATGCAGCTGTAATGTGAGAAGTAAAAAAAAAGCTATCTAAAATCTTGAAACATACCAGATTCTCCTGCTGCATTTGTTGCCAGCCCAGTGAACCACAGGCCTGGCCACAGTTTTTACATCTCTCTCCCTCTCTGTTTCTCCCCCCCCCCCCCCGATACAGGGGGGGGCATACAGAAAATATATGCAGTCATGAAGAGGAATGGAATGGAATGGAAGTGTGGGGTTAATTACTAGCGATTTGATCTGGAGTCATTAAACAGATAATACTTGATTTTATGAAAAAGGATAGCGTCATCTACTCTCTGCCACAATTGCTTGTTGCATCACAATAAATAGTCAGTGGGCAATCTTATAGGAGAGGGAATAGATGGTTGTACTTGTAGTGTTCATCAGCAATGAAAAGCTATTAAAACTGCATCAATGATCTTCTCTCCCTCTCTTTCACAAGGAGCCGTGCATGCTGCTGTTTTGATAGTTAACTGGTTATGGAGGTGTTCAGGTGGTGTTAGGTGGCCACTGATTATGCTGCTTAGGTGCAATTCAGTTTTCAAAAGATTTCCAAAGCAGAGGAAATAACAATCCACTTACAGGTTGTCCTCATTTAGTGTCTACTTTATTTAGCAACAGTGACGAAAAACTAGCTCTATTGCCAATACTAGCGTTTACAACCTTCCCAGGTTTGTCAAAAGCAAAGGAAAGCTGAAGTAAGATCATACGAAAAGTCGCGGTCCCATGTAGTGACCACTTAAAGCTGTTGGTTCCAACTGTAGTCTCTAGCCAAGGACTACCTGTGTGTGCAGTGCCTACTTAGATACATTATTGTTTAAGAACAACCAAAAGGGAAAAAAAATGACAGTGCAGAAGGGAAGGGAAGTGGTAGGCTTTCAGAAAACTAACGCAAAAATATTCATCTCCTTTAGATGCTGAAAGCAAGGCAGAACGCTTCCATGATAAGGTAGAGCGTGAAGAGGTGAAGGAACGTCGCTATCACCGGCGGGAAGAATTGGCCCCCTATCCTAAGAGCAAAAAGGGTAACAAGCAGATTCCCTACCTTGAGCTCCCCAATGTCTTTCAGCTAGAGCAGGGGTAGGCAACCTTGGCTCTTTTATAACTCGTGGACTTCAACCATGCTGGCTCAGGAATTCTGGGAGTTGAAGTCCACGAGTCATAAAAGAGCCAAGGTTGCCTACCCCTGAGCTAGAGGCATACAGTGTCTCCTCTTGGAGAGCTGGGTTTCTCTTAACCCCATAAGAGAGAGTGATTATCAAAGTCTGGCATCCTTCTTGTCTTTCTTCTCTATAGCAAGCCGAAAAGATGAAGAACTTGATCCCATGGACCCCAGCGCTTACTCCGACGCTCCTCGGTGAGTCTGCTCGGTAGAAAGCTCCACTTACTGCTTCAAGCCTTCTGCTGAAGCTGAGTATCATGGCGGAAAAACGGCTGCTTGGCAGATCAGAAGTAGGCACTGGGAGAGGGCAAATGTTTCCAGATTCAGTATTGAAAGAGATAACAGGAAGTGGGTGTTTAAAAAAAATGTGAATAGCTCCCTGCTGGATCTTAAAAGAGGTTTCACTAATCAGAAATTATGATTGGACTATATCAGTGGTGGCGAACCTATGGCACGGGTGCCAGAGGCGGCACTCAGAGCCCTCTCTGTGGGCACGTGCACCGTCGCCCCAGTCCTAGGCCTTCAGCTGGGTTTTATAAAACCTTTTTGCTTTAAGCCTCCGCCACCATGTGCAAAAAAAAAAAGGTTCAATCAATCAGTCAATTTCAACTTCTTGCGGGGAAAAAAAAGATCTTGCAAAGTTGAAATTGATTGAACTTTTTACCACTGCAGCCACGCCCACCCACTGGGCCACACCGACCCAATGGGCCACACCCAGCCAATGGCCACACCCACTCGGCACCCAACGATGCATAAGTGGGTTTTGGGTTGCAGTTTGGGCACTCGGTCTCTAAAAGGTTCGCCATCACTGGACTATATCTTTCTTTGCTCAGATTTGATGTATGGCAGTTTCGTGTGTGCCAGTTGTCTGCTGGAATTATCAGCGAGATGCATTCAGGCATTTTAAATTATCCATTCTATATTTTAGCAGACTTGGATCTGTTGGGACTGGAAGCTTGCTTTTTTTCTAGGAAAACCTGGCTGATAAGGAAATGAAATTCTGTCTCTGTAACTACATTATTTCATTTTCTCAAACTGTTACCGATCAGATGCTCAAGTGTTCCTGTCTTAAAGGTGCTCATGGCATTTTAAAAGTCACCAAGCACTTCAGGCTGTTTTAGGAGCTGAGAACTAGGAGAGTGGATGCAGGCGGGGTAGGACCAAGGCTAGATGACGTTAGAAAACAGAGGCAAAGTGCCAGTGACAGTCTTGGAGAAGAGCCAGCGATAACAACTTTGTCTCTGCATCTTTTCTACACCTCAAGGGGAACCTGGTCCACGGGGCTGCCCAAGCGGAATGAAGCCAAGACCGGTGCAGATACCACGGCCGCCGGTCCACTCTTCCAGCAGCGCCCTTACCCAAGCCCTGGGGCTGTCTTGCGTGCGAATGCAGAAGCTTCTCGAGCCAAGCAGCAGGACTGAGATGCCCGCTGCTCCTTTTATCCTTGAATGTATTTGGTCATTACGTTCTGAAAGGCCTGCTGCAAGAGCAGGGCTCCCTCCGGACTGCAGACCGGGCCAGTGGCAGCCTTTCCAGATCTTTACTACAACTCTGGCATGTCAGTGGTAAAGAGATGCTGGTTTTTATAGTTCAGAGGCTTCTGAAAGGCTGTAAGTTCCCAACATCTTTGGGGCTTTGGAGAGGCGGGTTTTTTTCCCCTGCGGAAGAGGTTTTACACTGATCGACCTGCTGACTTCTGCAGGGAACAGTCTCCTCACGGGTCTCCATCTCCTTCTCCCATCCCACTTTGAATGTCTATAAAAAGTTGAGGGAAAACACGCATTGGTTTTTCCCATATAACAATTTTTATCAGCTTATAATATTTGCACGGCGTAAAGAAAACGTTTGCAAACAGGTTTGTAGAGTCTGGCTAGTAAGGCCCAGCCAAGGCAAGGAGATGGAAGCCAGCGCACCTTCCCGCCCCCTCCTCCTCCCTCAGCTCCTCAGAGTAGCTAAGACACGCAGCTGTTTGATTCTGCTTAATAAATGATCAGTTGACACCTGGCTTGCTTGCTTTAAGAATCTGTATTATGTTTTTACAAGAATAAATAAAATATACAAAGCTGCATAGTAGTATTTAAAATGTAACACATTAGTTCCATATAATCTCAACACTGTCTTTATAACGCAATTAATACTTGATACAATGCTACAGTTCTGCACTAATACATGACTGGAAGGGAAGCCATAGGGAGTAAAAAGGAACACTCTCTCCCTTTGTATAGGGGAGGGAAAGGCTCAGTGCACAAAGAGAAACAGGAATGGAAAGCAACAAGTTAATAGGTTGTCTTCTTTTTGGTCTCCAGAATCTGGATTTGCCCAGGCCAGACTTTTGCCAGCTCAGCTGCGGAAAGCAATGCAGAGCGAAGCCATGGAGTTTAGACTTGGTTAGTCTCTGCTGCAGATTCTCCGGTGGAATTAAGAGCAAAGCCTTAAGACAAGTTAACAACTGTTCTGATAATGTCTGTCATTCAGAACAGAACGGTTGTTCGGAATCAATCTCAGTGCACAAGAATCGGGGGCCGAGGGTGGTTCACACATGATTATTTTCTTCCTGAACTCACTCCTACTGCCACCTAGGACCATTCTATAATTAGTATTAATATCACAAAAGGTATGAGCAAGTTTTTGAACTTATAAAATTTCTCTCCCCCCCCGCCCCCATCCCAGCTATATTGTAAACAAAGCAGAATCAGGGAAGGAGAAAGAATTGGTCCTCAGTGTTGCAATTTGTAAGAGACTCCTGGCAAGAATTTTTGGCAAACACAAGGAACAAACCTTAGAATTCAAATTGCCACACCATGTTACTGAGACAATCAATTAAGGGTATTGCGTCATTTAAAAAAAATCAGCTCCAATAGCTCCTTTACTCCTTTGGGATGATATAATTGATCATCTAAATCAGGGGTAGGCAACCTCGGCTCTTTTATGACTCATGGACTTCAACTCCCAGAATTCCTGAGTCAGTTGAAGTCCATGAGTCATAAAAGAGCCGAGGTTGCCTACCCCTGATCTAAATGGGCCATTAATTGCTACTGGAACCCCTCTGGTTCAGTCCCGTATGTGAGGCAGGTCTTAACGAGAGATCAGCTCGATAAAGCGCATCAGGCGATCAAAAGGCACATCTGAGAAAATGAGTCCTGTCTTTCCTGCACACTCGGTGCCGTGAATTGTTCTGCATCCTGTGAGCATTGGCAGAAGGTTTCATTAATCCAGGAAAGCATCACAGCTGAAATGGTGCTGACGTCTTCTGTGGTGGTTTTCTTTGCTGCTTTAAGAACCTTTCTCTTTAGCTGAGACCCTGAAAAAAAGCAGAAGAATGGTTGAGCTTAGTCTGGGACAGGACCTGGCGAGTGGTCAGCTCTTAGGATACTCCATCTGCCTCTAAGCAAATTACTCACTTTCCTCAGTCTCAACAGTGATTCACTAATCTAGATGGTACAGGGGAAGGGTGATCACTCATATTTTTCTTTCTCTACAATCTATTCCTTGCCAAAGTCAGGAATTTAGATAAAAGAATCCTCATTACTATCCTAGCCTTGGTTACTGAAACCTATTGATTTGATCATGCGCTCTACCAATAAGCGAGCATGAATAATATGGAACGATATCCCTTGGTGTTTTATAAGTCTTTAATTGCAGTATGCAGTAGCCTGACTATAGCTTTCTGAGAAGGCCCTTCACTTTGATAATGGGATTTGGTGCTCAGACGAAACCAGAACCATATATATTATGTGATCATGGTAGGCAGCCCTAAGTTGACAGTCTGACCCTTTCAGAATTGCAGTTTTCCAAAAATTTCAAAACAGCAGCAGGCTTCTAGCCCTTATGCCTATGTGGGTGGTTTTTAATAATGGCTGGGTTCACATACTGCAATTAAACCATGATGATTTTGGTTTACTGTTCTCCGAACACAATCATGGTTTGTGAACAATTTAGAACTGAATGTATTGCAGCAAATCCCACCATGGATAATAACAAACTCTATTGGACCTTGCTATTACCAATTGAAATTTAATCAAGTAAGCCCTTTTTCCTAGTCTGCAGCAATCAAAAACCTTCTGCCACAGAAAGAAATAACTATGAAGTCCTTAGTGATCTCTGAGCTTGCTGGCTTTCTTGAAGACGTTTCATTATACCAAATCAAGTAACTTCATCAGTGCTAGGAATAACAAAAACACATTTCCACTTTGGATATATTAGAAAATGAATTTTGCCTATAAAGGAACAGAGACAACTATCGCAGAAGCATATCACTCCCATGATTTCTTGTTTTGTTTTTTATATTTGCCGGTTACAGGTTTCCCAAGTTTTTTATACTCACGAGGGCTTCAAAGACATTCAACTGGGTTTCCAGGGGGGTGGGGGGTGGGAATGGGTGTGTTAGAGGCAAACTAGCAGGCCCAACTGGGAGGATCAAAGCCCTGCCCTGTCTTAGGTTCATGTAGAAAGACTGGGGCATGATCATCACCCAGTTGCACTCCCATTTTTACACTGTTGACACTTCTTGTGGATATCCCTAGAAAAATATCTCTCCGATGGTTAATTAAGCCATCTAGCAGGATTGAAGAGCATGTCATGGGTTTTCTCTGATCTGAGACTTTTGAGTTCAGCTCAAACTTCTTAGGTTGTTCTGATAGCTTTGCTAAGCAAGGTACCCTTAGACCAACATGGTAAATTACCAGAATGGGTAATCTGTGGCCTTTCAAATAGCACTGAACTACAACTCCCAGCATCCTTTATCACTACCCAAGCTGGCTGGGAATATTGGCGTGGTGGTTTGGTAACATCTAGAATACAATATGGGATCAACTCCATTCCTGATAGCACTGCATTTGGATCAGGGAAGGGAACATCAAAGCTCTGTTTATTGGAAAGTTGTCCCCTTCTAGCTAGAGCCACCTAAAGTGGTTGGAGTGACGGAGCAAATAATATGTTTGAATGCTTTCTGTGGGAAGATCAAAATTTAGCAATTATTCCATTAGTCCACTTAATAGATCATCATATAGATTAGGGCAAATGGTGCCCATTTGGCAAAGAGGAATTATATGCACAGATTCCATGTAATATAAGCAATGGCATGTTTTTTTTTTACATTACATTACAAAGGCTTGCTGTGTTTCAATTACATGCTCAGCCAATTATCCCAACCAATGGTTTACGCAGTTTACCCAGTTTCCTGGGTTTCCAGGATGCAATGAATTATAAATGCTCTATGATGCCATAAGCAAGGCTAAAATGTTTACTGGCTTGTGGTACATTGTGTTCTTAATTTAACAAGGTTGTTACGACAATATTGTCACAGTATCTAGGACACTGACCTATTTAGTACTTCCTCCTCTGCTCATTGAGCCAGATCTGTAAATACAGCCAGAATAAATCATGCCAACAAGCAATGTAGTTTGAGCAAAACAAAACAAAACAAAACAAAAACCCCAACCCAAGATGGGGGAATATTATTTTGAATTCTTTCATGCAACAAACTCCAATTAGAAATTAAACATTAGAAGGAAAAGGTCTGCTTTAGCTGCAGTTTTAGGAAAGAGTATTTTCCTTTCTCTGCAACTCACAAAACTCTGGATGTTCCTGGCAACCTTTTTTTTTTAAAAAGGGCAATAATTATCTCTCATATTTAGCAAAGAAAAAAAAAGTAAAGTGGCAAAGCAGGAGTTACCCCCACAGCAGTTGTCTGGAGCAAGCAAATGTCTCAACTTGCATTTGAAATGGGCCCCCAAATTGAACCTACATATTGTGCTAAGACGTAATTGTGGCTTTCTTAGTTGGTTAGCATGTTGTGTGAATCAAATCAGTTTTGGTTAATTGATATTTATTAGTTCATTATTAGTCCAATCATGGCTCAGCACTTTGTGCAAAATTAGGTGTTTATTCAGTAAACTCATAGTTAAGCATATATGAACTATGACCACTATTTCTGCCTGGGAGTAACCACAGAACTCACAATATTAACAGTGTTATGTAGAAGATAACAGCAAAGAACTGCCGGTGGTTCTAATCTTATTATAAATTAGTGCTCAAATATGAATCTCCAAAGCAGCAAAAATTTATCAGTTTGGTTACAAATCCAGAATGGAGAAATGGTAAGATCCCCAGGTGATGAAAATTAAGTTTCAAGAGGGGCCCAGTGCTTTCCAAGAGATATGCACTAGTCTAATCAATTGGAGCCCCCCAGAAAACGGGCTGTAGTATGTTCATCTAACTGGAACCTGCAGAGCAGAATCAATGCTGAAGACAATCTAGCTGGGTTATAGAAATTCCTCTGATCCGATTTGGCTCAGCAATTCCTACCTGTTCATCCACAGCTCACATCAAATATTTTACCTTATGCTGCAACTTTTTTTTTTAAAGACAATGTTCTGAAAGCAGTGGTTTAGATCTTCCAAGATTTATCAGTTAAGCAAAATGTGCATAATTTTGCTTACTTTTAATCTTTATTAATCCTTATAAGTTACCAGTCTTCTTGTGAGATAAGGAAATATTGGATAGCACAGAAAATCCGCTCGATGACTCTTTGAAAATGCCATTTAATCCTGTTTATTGGCCACTAAAATTTCACCGCCACTTCTTTAAAACCTTCAAGGACAGCTCTTTCCAGATCCACTTGGAAATCTTAAGACTGACCCAATCCCATTCTACTTACCAACTGTTCTTCCCCATGGAAACCAAGGTTTCAGTCTTTGCCGTCTTACTTTCTATCTTGGTCATGGGGAGGGAAGATCAATTCAAGCAAGCAAATCTGTCATTCTGCAGTCTGAGGTGGTGCATCAGATCTGGCAGAATGCTACATTGGGCCTCGATGAGAATGCAACATGACCCATTTTCATGTGCTCCAGAGCTGGTTCCTTGGAATAAATCATGGATCAAATAAGAGGAGTCATTATCTATGTTATTACACTGTGCCCACTGTAATTGGAATTTCTTTTCCTAGGAAGGGTTTATTTCCCCCTCAGATTTTTACAGTATGCATAACAGGAAATTGCATCTCTCCTGTTTGATTGGGAGGGAATCCTACAGTTCTAGAGACCCAATCTTCCATTTTTGGTTTAGGTGTCTGAGCACTGAAGTTCAGATGCATCATCCAAATGCTCAGGGTGGAACTTCTTTAGGAGGCGGGTAGAATTCTGAGGAAAGAATTTGCAGGAGCCATTTTATTCCCACTTGTGAAAGGCAATATTGGATCATAATGCATGTGGACTTTATACTGTAAGTAGACACACTTTAGACCAATCTGAACTGCAAAGTGCAATGTCAGTTCCCGGCCCTTGAGTATTATGTAATTCTAATTTTAACATACTTAACTGTTGGTAAAGCCAAGCCCAACTTTAATGATTAGAGAGTGCTGTTTATTCTGAATCAAATGGAAGAGTTAGGCTCCGGCTGTTCCTTCTGATAGGGATGTACAATCTGAAGCATCGAAGCTGTCAGTGGCCTTTTAAAAACTTGAGTATGGCACCCAAGAACCCTTTTAAAAACTGCCACCAAATTGCAACGTTTTATGTGACAAGTCAATGGCTTTCTGCATTTCAGTATGTATCGCGTGCACGTATTGTTTCAGATACTACTAGCTGCTGCTTCAGTCATTACATTTCAACTGACTCACAGGTATGTGAAAAACAAATACTCTATCCAAGCCTTTCTCATTTGGATGTCCACCAAACCAAGTGGTTTGAAGCTGACCCCGATCTCAAGTGAAAAGGCCGTCCCATCCTTGCCCCAGCCATCTCCCAGTGTTAATAGGGTTAGACATGCAGCATGAGACAGATCTGCCCTTTTCAAGGCTTCCTCAATCATTAAGCAGTAAGGCTAAATAAATACACGCTCTTTATTCATCTATAATTTATGTACATTGACAAACAGTACAGGCTTTCTTTGATTGTTTTCCTTAAAAAAGCAGAAATTCATAAAAAAATGATTAGCAATGTAAAAAAACTTGTACATACACACTCACACACATCACGGTGACTTGTGTTTATCCTCCCCCATTTCAAAAGGAAACAAAATTCACCCAACGCTCTCCCACCCCCTTCACACACACTCCAGGGTTAGTGTACTCCCCCCTCAACCAACAGACCTAGTCCGTATAAAATGCATAAGGATTAGGGAGAGGCAGTTTACACCCCAAAAAGCCTCGTGTATTAACATAAAAAGGAAACTGAGGCAGAGAAGGGCCTTAACTTCTCAGAATCCCAGCCTCTCTTGCCCTTCTGTTGCTTTTAGGTTCAAAATGTACACAACATGTGAACCATCCAGTTGGACAATTAGCGTGCGCCTGTACAGATGGTTGCCTGGAAGTGCAGATCAAAAGGAGACCTCTGTTTGGGGGTGGGCGAAGAGGGAGGACACCACTTGAAATGGGCTTTAGACATTCACTAAGAACCCTGTTTTCATTTAATCACCTTTCCTCCTTGCAAAATACAAAAGAAATGAATGGCACTCAGATTCTTAGCTTCTGCTCCATAGAACTTCCCGGTGGTTGTCCTGGAGTTCCAGAAGGCCTATTTTGGCGCTCTTAATAGCCACAGCACCAGCAGATGGTCATCCTTTTCATCTCTGGCTGATGCAAATTTCTCTTCCCATACTGTGTATACATTATATGCCCCTATCTGGTGGCTCTAACCTTTACCCTGAGATTCTTCTTACGTCAAGCCAAGTGTCCCTTAGGTGAAATGAGACAATCTGTTCCAGTCCATCTTCTCTGTCCCTAACAAAACCTTAATTAATTACTAATGATTCAACATTTGCCCAGTAACTCCCAAACATTTAATATTCTAAATACACACTGAAGGAAGGAAAGAATTAACTACACCTTAAACTCAGTTCCCTTTCCACAATGATCCAACAGCGTTTGCTAAATAATAACCAGAGCTGGAGAAGGAACAAAAGCAGAATGCCAAGCAACTCAAATACCCAACACCTTCGTTTCAATGGCCTGGTACTGCTACATGCACGCACCCATACACAACATTTCTTGTTCAGTTTTCACCTGCTTACAGTAGATAAATTTGACAATTTCAGAGCAAACCGCTGTAAACAAGCTAATTCCTATTACTTTCATGTATCTGGCAGTTAAGAAACCATTGGTATGCTCCAAAGGGCAAAGGACGTTTTTTTCTTCACATTTCTCTATGTGCTGTTACGTATCCCCCTCAATCCTTCTTGTGATTGTGTACTTTTATTAAAAGTACACTTCTTTATAAAAACTTCTCCCTGCTGACCAGACATAAGGAAGTTCTTGGGACAGAATAGTCCCGTTAACAGTTCTGCCCCAAGTTGCTTTTCAGGAGCCAATGTCGCCAAAGGTGGGACAGTGGAGAAACGGATAGGAAAGTTAGACGTCAAAGAGAAGGTGAACAATTTCAAGCAAACAATGGCAGATGACCAGCTGAAGTATGTGGAGAATTGTACATAAATACATAATTGGCTAAAATAACAAGTTATGGGTCTATAAAACGGGCAGCTGAATAACTTGGGAAGTAGAGGAGAGAAAAAGCGGAAGAATATGAGTGGTCAGCACACAGGTTAAGAACATAAAGACCAAGGCAGAGAGGGGGAGGAGATGAAAGAGCAGAGAAGACTTAGGGAAAGAGAGTGAGAAGTGAAAAAGATGGATGTTGCAAAAAAAAAAAAAAGGGGGGGGGTCCAGATTTTGTGAACCTTCACAAGAAACCAGTGACAGGTAATGCAGGAGGTGTTCTGTTCTTCTCAACTGATCAGTACTGACTTGGTCAGGAAGCCATCTGTAGTCACGGAAGGAAGTTCCTTGCTTTGTGCTCCATGGCCCTGCTGCTGCTGGATAGCTGCACCCACCAGGGATCGACTGGACAATGGTCCCTTGGGCAAGCTGTATAGATAGACAGCCCCTATGACCAGGCCTGCTCCTAGAGCAAACAGTAGGTTGAGGTGGAAGTCAAAGAGGTAGATAGAAGCCACGGTGGACACCACAATGGAGAAGGAGGTGGCAAAGCCTTTGAGGATGTTGTCGGCGTATTTCACAACCAGTGCCACCAAGAGGCCACCAAAAGCCTGATTCAGGATCACTCCCCACACCAGTGGGGTGTAGCCAAAGAAGAATCCATGCTGAGCTACAGCTGCCCCCTCAGTGGACCACAGCCCCAACAGCCCTAGCAAGGTCCCGAAGATGCCCAGTTGGACGTTACGTAGCCAAACCGAGGCTGTGCTGCCCTTGAGGATCTTTTCAAAATAGACCCCAGCAAAGCCGGATGAGAGGCAGGACACCACCACGGCCACAAGTCCCACCATGTAGCTTTGTTGCATCCCCTGGCCCTTGGGGGCTGGCTTGCCCCCTGCCTGCTGCTGCTCCACTTGGACAATGGCTACACCGGCAAAAAGAAGCATGAGGGACAGCCACTGAAGACTGGACAGGCTCTTGCGGAGCATCAGCACCGAGAAGACAGCTGTGGTGAGGATCTTCAGCTGGTAGGTGACCTGGGAAAGGCAGTGTAGTTTAGTAGCCACCCCAATATGCCATGAATCAGGAAGCTGCCTACCAGCCAGGGGCCTAAGGATTATGTAGTTCTCCTTAGTCCCAGACTCTAAATTATGCAAGAACTCTCCAGACTCATTGGACCACAATCCCCAGAATTCCCAGCAACTTGGAAGAGTTGCAGCTCCACTCATCCAGAAGACATCTGGTTAGGGAAAGTTAATCTAAATCACTATAGGGATCCAGATCCCTCTTCAGTTCTTATTCTCCATTTGCAAAAAGAGACCAAAATCTCAAAATGCTACCGCAGTGATTTAATCCACCTTAAATCCACAATCTTACTGAAACAAACAAGGTAACTGAAAACCATAGTGATTTAGAATCAAATATCAGATATCCAGGATCGTGTGTGTACCCTTATTTAATCCCTTAAAAGTGGATTAAAAAATGGAGCTTGTGACAATTTGGCCATTTCAGCATCCCATTAGTGTTTGCTTTCATTTTTAAAGAGAGAGGAATTCTCTACTGTTTATGATAGTGTGACTATTTGTTTCGAGAATAACAAGAATACCTGCTAAGATTTCAGAACCTTGTAATTCAGCACGTTCCCCCCCCCCAATTGATTGTCAGAAGTGAAGTATATTAGACCAAATCATAAAAATATTCAAAATTGAGCAGGGCAAGAGATTTGCTTGAGCTCCATAATTTACATAAACATCATTCATCTTGAGAGTCCTTTCCAGACAGCTAGCTACAGTTCCCACTTCTGTGGTGAGCAAACCCTAGTGCCACCTGGATAAATAGTGTACTTATAATGAAATCAAATAATAACACGGGGAAACACATTATATTTCTAGATATGCGCGTGGGATTTCAATAAGCACTGTCCCAAGAGACTTAAAGTAACATAACTCAGGATCCCCATCCTCAGTACTCTGAGGTGGGGAAGAGGGACATATTAAAAAAAAAAGAACGGCAAATACATAAAGTAGATGAGATTGAAGGACATTCTCCTTCGGAAAGATGCTTCTAACATTTCCTGAGCACTTTAGACTGGAAATGAAAGTAGGAGGAACATCTCACCTGGAAGGTAGCTGCTGGCAGGTTAGAGATGGCCACGTACTGCAGATTGTTTTGGAGGGTGTAAATGAGAGAAGGCACTGCTAGCTTGAGAGTGTCCATATACTGTACCAAAATGGAATCATACAAAGAGGCAGCAAACTGTCTCAGATTACCTGGAAAAGGATACAGACAGGAAACTGTTTCTTATACATATCAAGGCACAACAGATTATTTTTTTTTTCAGTCTTTTTTGCTTTGGCATGAATAACAATTGCAAAAGGGAGAGATCCCTAGTTATTAGACGTTGCAAATATTTGTTCCTATCCTTTGAAAATACTCAGGACAAGCAGAAAGGGGGTGAACAGATAGAACCAGAAATACTACTCTCCCCGGGGATATAGTGTGCAATAATCCTTTTTTCAGTGCTCGGGCATAAGAAAAGGTCACAAGCTCTAAGGTATTTTCTCACAATGGCCCCGACCCAACCCATAAGCTCTAAGAGTATGGGCTCCCTCAAGGTCACCATCCTTAAGGAATATCACTGCAGGAAACTCAGGGATAAACCTCTTCCACGACTGCTCCCCACTTCTCCAGAATGATAGCCCATCCCCAGATCAGGCTCTCCTCTACACACGTGTGTCCTGTGAAGCCATTTAACCCTGTCTGTTTCAAATACACCTTTAAGGTCTGGAATATAGAATAGCTCCCCTGTAGAACAGCGTTTGTTCATTATGGGATTTTACAGGGCTAATTTGCGGTTATTGCTGAATTAATGAGTACTGTGGTTATTGCCCTTTTAATGCGATTACACAGTGACATATGCAGGCTGCCCAGAGTCACTTGTTGACCGGACCAGCATGTAAGTAAATTAAAATAAAAAATAAGCCCTTACAAGAAAAGACACTGCTCACCTTACATCAATTGGTCTGTTAATCAGGTGTTTCATTTTGTACTTTGGCTCTTTAAAAAATAAATGTGTATATTTCTATTTACAGAAGGAGTTTTATGACTGTATGTACATGTTTTAAATTATTTATTAATTCACACAATTCAACTGTTTAATTATGTCATTGTTTCTCTCTGGGTCCATAGAAATATTTTTTTTTCTTGCTGTTTTCTTCCCACTTTTGTGTACAAGTTGCAAGCACTCAACCATGTTATTTAAAGTTAGGGTGAGCCAAATCCAGATATGGTCATAAAGAGTAATACGCAGAAATGACATTAAAAGAAATTTAGATTTTTCAATTCAACCATTAGGCTGGTCAATGGCAGAAACACACATTTCAATCCAGCAAGACTGCTAATGAATATGGAACAAAGTTGGGACAAGCAAGCCCTTCCTTAAGGGCCTCCATTTTCCTTGGTGTGATATTCCCACCTTGCTTCTGAATGAAGATGAGCAGTAGGCAGGTGATTCCTTTTAGAATTTCAGCCATAACCACCGCTGTGGTAGCAAAGAATCTGTCCCCTGGCAAAGTGCGCACATAGCGAATGCTGAGGATGAGGGTGGCATTTTGCACCACCAAGACTGCTAAACTGATGTACTTCAGCTGTCGGTTACCTGGAAAAGGAAAAGTAGAAACCAGCTCAGCATCCTTCTACCAATATCGCTCCCCAGCAGATTCACAAGAGATGCTGCACTGAAAAAATGATCCCCATCCAGAAACAGCACTAGAGATTTTGATGGAAGAAATAATTCGGAACCTCTGGGTCCCCTTTAAGTTTCTTGTATCAGAAACCACTAAAACAGATGTTAGAACATTGAGAATCAAGGCTTGAATTCACACAAACCAACAGATACACATGAAGACCAACTCCCACCTTCTTCCCTTAGTTGCCAGCTCACTAGCTAGGATGCAGAATGGGGATTGTCAGAAGAGGGCAATCCTGGCTGACACAAGAGCTCTGCAGTCTCATTTTTGTAGTCCCTAGGCTCCAGCTTGCACTGTCAAAATTCAATGCAAAATTAAACATTTTGCAGGCACTGTTTTTCGTATCAAAATTATATTCCTCTTTTACATTTAACTTCATAGGGGTTTATTTCATCCCTTAACCTACTGCCCCCAAAGGGCCGACAATGTCGGCCCCATGCCTGATTAAATTTCCAACACTAGCTTACAAAAGTACAACACTAGCTTACAAAAGTACAAAAGTTCAAAATGCAGGCCTATAGAGTCAATTGCAAGCGTAAACTGACCTTGCGGAATGGAAGTGAAAAACTCCACTGTCACTTTCCAAGAGCAAGAATCTTAATAAATTGCTGACCATGTCAAAAGGGAATAGTGTTATGTTTTTTTGTTTGAAATGTGTCTGGTTTTGATAAATACAATGAGTGATAAAAGCACTTAAATCCAATATTCTAGCTTCTTGACGTCAAATGGGGAAATGCCTTCTCTCTAATCTAATTGGCAAATGACACAAGTAATTCAGAAGCAATATCTAATGACCCATATCTCAGAACTCCAGCAATATCAAAAAAAGGTTAAGGATTTCCATCCTTCTGTGCTAATGTTTAAACCGGATTATTTCTTTTGCTCTTTCTTGTGCCTATCAATTTAAGAGGCAAATTGGACAGGAAGTGGAGAGCAAAAAAAAGGTATAAGCCTTATCTTGCAGAAAACATTCCTCTTCTAGGAACGAAAAGTATTTGGTTTCTTGAATGAAAACCAAGTAATAAGGAAATTAATGTTAAAAAAAGGACATATTTATAATCTGGTGCACTCCAAATATAACTGTCTACAGTTAGTCCTTGACTTACAACCATTCATTTAATGACTCTTTGAAGTTACAACAGTACTGAAAAAAGTGAATGATGACTGGTTTTCATAGTTACAACTGTTGCAGCATCCCCATGGTCACATGATCAAAATTCAGGCACTTGGCAACTGACATGCATTTATGACAGTTGTAGCATCCTGAGGTCATGTGATTGCCATTCGTAACCTCTTAAACGGCTTCCGACAAGCAAGTCAATGGGGGAAGCCAGATTTGCTTAACAACTTCATGATTCACTTAACAACTGCAGTGATTCACTGAACAACTGTGGCAAAAAGGTCATAAAATGGGGCAAAACTCACTTAACAACTGCCTTTTTTAGCAAAGGAAATTTTGAGCTCAGTTGTGTAATATATACTACTTGTATATATGAAATGCTTCAAGGAAGTTTGCCTTACAATAAATTGCCGCCTAAGTACACTTACCATCTTAAAGACAGGATTCACTTTTATCCTTGATATACCACACTAGCTTTGAAATGTACCTACCTTAGTTTGCAGTAAGTTTCAAAAATTTTAAATAGTCCATTTGTCCACAACGCCAATTACCCCCCAGCACATGGGGAAACTCACAACATTAGGAAATGAACAGTGTCTAATTTAATTTCTTCAGGATTATCCCCAATACCTATTACTCAAAACCTCAAGGGAACTCTCCTTGCAGCCTTTATGATAACTATCAGACCTTCCAATTTGCTTTTTAAATTAACTAATTGGCTAACATTCCCCACTCCCACCAGTAAATAGGGTTGTCGTGTTCCCCCCACCTCCCTCTCCCTCTCCCTCTATGTGTGTGTGTGTGTATACATATACACATATACATACATACACATGTGTACATTCACATACATACACACACATACACATACACAGAGGGAGAGATGTGGGAAGAAGGAAGTACCTGATGTTGGGGACTATTTTATTTCTTCGGGAATTCATATCCAGAAGGCTAGCTCGAAGGAAAGGAAAAACCTTCCCGGAGAAGGAGGCAACACAGCCTCTCTATAGGGAGCAGGGAGATGGGAAATCAGTGATTTGAAAATATTTGAAATTTGGTTGCTGAGCAAGGAGAAACCTCGAAACGTCCCCACTCCTCCCTTCTCCTCCTCCTCTCTCACCTGCCGTCGCCACCGGACTGTCAACGCCGCCTCCGGGGCCCCCAGCCGCTGCCATGGTGGCAACCGCGGGGCAGCCGAGCTCTCCCACTGTAACGGACACTTCCGCATCCTACCTGCCGGCCTAATTCCGTTTCCGTTAGAACCTCAGCTGGCCATAGAGATGGCACAGAAAGCGAGAGGGTAGGCGGGGTCAAATCCCACATTGATAATATTCTTCCTAGAGCGTCACGGCGTGGGTGAAAGTGTCATACGGTTTTGCGAAGACAGACTGATTAATTCCGCACTTTTCGACTCGCGAAAACACAAAGGCTGGTCAAGTGTTAGGATCCCACTGCAGAAGCCAGAAATCTTTTAGCCCAAGGAAAACTGGTTGCAGAGGGCATTGATGAAACAGGAGAGGTGTGGAATGGGCAAGGAGATGAAGAAGGTTTAGTATAATGGTTAAGGATCAAGGCTAGAAACAGGAGACTATGAGTGCCAGTCTCGCCTTAGGCATGAAACCCGGATACTTGACTTTGGGCCAGTCACTCTCAGCCCTTGATATCAGGGTCAGTCAATTATTGTTGCAGCCAGGTCACCCTGATACTCTTGCCTTTTATTTTGCCCACAACAACCCTGTCAGATGGGTAGGGCTGAGAGAGAAAGACTGGCCCAAAGTTACCCAGCCGGCTTTCATGTGTGAAACAGGACTCGAACTCACTACCTCCTGGTTTCTAGACCAGCACTTCCACCACTACACAAGACTGATTCAATGAGATGGCCCAACACCAGGCACTCAGTGTATCCTCAACCAAAGTATTCAACAAAATACCCTAGAAGAATTGTGTAAGAAGTGAAAAACATTGGAGAACTAAATATAACCTTAAGATATGCCAGTGATGGTGAACCTTTTAGAGACTGAGTGCCCAAACTGCAACCCAAACCCATTTATGCATCGTCGGGTGCCAGGTGGGTGTGACCCATTGGGTGGGTGTGGCCCATTGGGTGGGTGTGGCTGCAGTGGTAAGGGCAGACTGGGTGGGACTAAAAAGTTCAATCAATCAATTCCAACTTTGCAAGATCTTTTTTTCCCCTGCGAGAAGTTGAAATTGACTGACTGATTGAACCTTTTTTTTTTGCACACGGCAGCGGAGGCCTAAAGCGAAAAAGTTTTATAAAACCCAGCTGAAGGCCTAGGACTGGGGTGACGTCTCACGTGCCCACAGAGAGGGCTCTGAGTGCCACCTCTGGCACCCGTGCCATAGGTTCGCCACCACTGAGATATGCTTATGGTGGGCTTAGGACAAGGCAAAGGATAAGGGAACATCGGTAGGACGTGTCCTTCAGAAATGGATTGTGGGGTCCTTGGGCCACCATCTCAAACTCCTAGTGACCCACTTCGAAAGAAAATAGTCTTTCAGTCTGAGTCACAGAAATCTCCACAACTGGAATGCTGTCATTTGAGAATACAAGTTGTCTCCCAAGTTGCTAAGAAAACAGAGTCATCTGCAAGATTGGAGACTTTTACCGTTGTGAGAAAGAAACAACATTGCCTATTTAATGTATGTGTGCAACACCATGATACACATACATAAAGAGTAGAACATAAAGGCATGACACTCCAATGTGGGTCCAGGGAGTATCACTGCATATGATACTTCCAGGACACCTCTAGACACGGTGGGGCAAGACAGAGCAAACACACAATCAAAACTCTGTCCCTTTGGTGTTACACATGCAAAAAAATACTCATGTGAAACAATTCAATGGATGCCTCTGGTGTCAGGCAATGTTATAGTTCTTGTTAATAAAAAAGCCCCAAGAGCACCACATTCTTGTGAGTCCAATTTCCACTATTGGTTATGTAGCATCACAGTGGTATCAATTTTTAGTGACCGCATAATTTTATTTATGATAATTTGCTCTAACCTGGTGTTTCAGGTCTTCCAATGGTGTTCTTATTATCACTGTAACTGAGTCCATCCATTTTGCTACTGGTCATCATCTCAGGTTAGAGCCTTTTCCAGGCTCAGGTTAGAGCCTTTTCCAGAGAGCTAGGTCTTTGCATATTGTGTCCAAAATGTCCACTATTATAAAGGATGTTCTGACATGATTCAGAGCAAGCAAAGGGCCAATTGGATTCTTAGGGTGTTAGAAAAACAGGTCAGCTGATGTAAGAATAGGTGTGGTACTTCTGAATGAAATTCATCTGATCATTAACTTAGATTACCTTAAATGCAATATCTGATACTTACATCAGGTCAAACATGCATTTGGATTACAGGCAGTCCACAACCCACAACTACAGTTGGGACCATTGCTAAGCAAGGCAATTGTTAAATGAGTCGCACCTAATTCTATGACTTTTTTTGCAATGGTTGTTAAGCAAGTCATTGCAGTTAAATGAATCATACAGTTGTTAAGTGGATCTGGTTTCCCCCATTGACTTTGCTTGTTGGGAGGTGTGCTGAGAAAGTCACAAATGACAATCATATGACCCTGGGACGCTGCAAGTGTTAGAAATATATGCCACTTGCTGAGCACCCAAATTCTGATCACATGACCATAGGGATGATGGGATGATTGTAAGAGTAAGGACCAGTCATAAGTCACTTTGTCAGTGCCGTTGTAAGTTCAAACAGTCACTAAACGAATACTTGTAAGTCGAGGACTACCCATAATGATGGAGTGCTGATTTGCCTCTCATTTAGAAGAATAGTAGTTTGCCAGTAAAACATGTTAACAGGCATGAGGCCTGGTGGCACTTCTAAAGAGAAGCTAGCATTTCAGCTCATTGCCATCTTAAATCACCTAGAAAGCAGCATCCAGCTTCAATAGTAGAAATTATTCTATATAATGTCTCGGATTTACTCTTCTTACCAGATGTTGCAACTGGGAAGGGCAAGAGCAAAGCACATCACGGATGTAGGCAGAAGGCATACAGGTGGACAGATCAGCTTTTGTCAGGGTGTGGTGACTTCCTGTGTACTCAGAAGCTAAGTAAACGCTAGTGTGATGCTGGGGTGCGTCACTTCTCGATCTTGTTTGGCATTCCCAGACTGGCACCCCAGAGGGTGGAATTTACAGGAACTTGTCTTGTTGGTTTAATTAGACTGGCATTCTTCCCAGTAATGGAATGTTCTGCTTTTAATGACGGGCGTGAACCTCAGGTCAAATCCGGGTGAGAGGAAGGCATAATGTTACATTCAGTTCTCTCTTCTAGGAGTGTCTAAATATAAATAATGCTATCTATATATAAAGCTGGTGAATAAAGACAGGTACATGGAATATGTGTGTGGTGCGTTTGTGTACACATTAGATCCATTGTAACGTCAGAGGAGATACTAGCACGGATAACTTTCACCTAGTTGGGATCCTGCAGCAAGAGCAATCCAGGCATGCAGCTTGCTAGACAGCCCCTCTCCTTCTTTTATTTTCAGTCCCTAGAACCTTCTAAGATATATCACCAAACTATGATGGCAAATTATTAGTGCAAGTTGCTTCTGAAAACAATGGACTGAAAACATTGATCTGCTTTTTGAAATCTCTCCCTCTCTCTCTCTCTCTCTCCCTCCCTCCCTCCCTGCCTATCTTCCTCTCTCCATGACGATTTTTACTTGACCCTGATGTGGCAACTGTAGGCTTTGTCATCAGCAAGAGGCATTTAATAGACAAATGTGAATCGTGGCAAGTGCCATAACATGTGAACCGCAGGGGACACTGAGTTCCTATGAAACTTGGGAAGAGGCTTTCCAAGTGCAGTCTTATTTGTTTCTGTCAAATTAAATACTTTGGAAGCTACAATTGGCACAGCATGTAGCCACGTGGACAATTCTAGGGGGCATGCAGGGTAGTCCCGTAATACCATTGTTGAGTGAACTGCACTGGTTGTCAGTTTGTTTCCAGGTCCAATTCAAGGTATTGGTTATTATCTTTAAAGTTCTTTATGGCATGGAACCAGGTTACAGCATATGAGGAACTGTCTCACCCCAATGGGATTGGCCCATCCCACTCAAGTCTGGCAGAAAGGGCATGTTGCCAACCGAGGAGTTTTGCCTGGTGTGGTCCAAGAAGAGGAGTCTTTTCTGCCATGGTTCCCACCCTCTGGAATATCATGCCACTCAAGAGGAGATCCGCTCCCACCCTCCTGGCCTTGCAAAAGGGCCTGAAAATCTATCTCGGCTGATTGGCTTGGGGCCCTGATGGTACATTCCACTTTGGAGATGGTTAGTAAACTAAGATCCCACCTCCACCTCCTCTGATTGAAACCTTCTTACCTAATATTTTTTGTTAACTTTTAATGTTCCATGTTTTAATGTTTTCACCTTCCTGACCTGGTATTGTTATTGAAAAGAGGAATTCATGCAGCACGCTGTATTAAAACATAAATGGGTCGTTTGTGATATAATGTGTTGTGCAAACTCATCGGATGCTGGTGGTTTAGTACTTCATGTGAACTCAGCTAATTAGCTTTTAGTACAGTAAATTATAGTTAATTGGTGACTTAGCCACTTCCATGACAACTGTCAAAGAGTTGCCCTTATTTTATGATGGGGAATCCAAAAATGAATAATATTATGTAAATACAATAGATGTTCCCTAACACAGGAACAGCAAGCATCCTTTTTTAATGTTGGTTTCTTTATTCACTTCTTTGGAGGGCTAAGGGTACAAAATCACAGTAAATGTCCTTTGCTCATCTTAAAAAAGTTTAGATCAGACCTTGGTAAGGTGGTATATAAGGTGGCTATCAGATACTTCCACTGCTTTTTTTAGCTAGCCTGGGAAGCTGAAAAACATCTTGGAAAAGACAATGCATTTACATAGTAAGAAGTCTGCATGGTTAGTTGGTTGGTTATTTAGTTATCAAATGTATATAAGTCACCTATTTACCCAAGGAATTCTGGGAAAACCTTCTAACTATGTGTCCAAATAGTCACCAGAGTACAAATTTGCCCCAGTGGAGATTACCTAAGACAGGGGTAGGCAACCTTGGCTCTTTTATGACTCGTGGACTTCAACTCCCAGAATTCCTGAGCCAGCCATGCTAAGGGGAAAGGGAGAGGCTTCCAAGCTGAGCCATGCTGGCTCAGGAATTCTGGGAGTTGAAGTCCACGAGTCATAAAAGAGCCAAGGTTGCCTATCCCTGACCTAAGAGATAAAACCAATGTTTGGGGACACTGTTTTTCAGTCTCAGTGAGTTTAATATGTGTGGTCTTCAATTCCCAGAATTTCCCAGCTTCAGCCCAAAAGGGCATTTAAAAAAAAAGACCCCTCCCTTCACTGATATATGATTCCATCATCCCCCCTCCCCAACAGGCCCAGGCAAGAGAGTTAGCTTCCAACCCACTAAGACGGAACAGCTCTTCACATTGAATGAGAAAACGAGATTGATGAGCTTCTTAGTGACAGCAACAAGGATTCAGTTCCATTTTATTAAATAGAATTCCAGTCAGATTTTGACACTAAGAGCCAGGTCTTTGCATGATGGCTTCTTTAAATACATATTTTTTTTTAAAAAAGAACACACATATCCATAAGCCAAAGTTACGCACCCGTACATGTAAACCAGATACCACCTCCATCCCTTTCAACTTCTCCTTTGGCCAGAAGCCTTGAAGAGAGTTTGGAAAAGATGGGTAGCAGAAATCCACCCAAGAATTCTCTTCCCCCAAAATGTGCAGGAGTCCTTGTAAATAATAATACCCAAGTATTTACACATAATGAGATGTCCTCTCCTGGTCAAAGCCAGAACTGAAACATCTTCTGGATAGCTGAGAGGAGATTAAGCTTGGGTCAATGAATTTGCTTCTACCAGCTCAAGTTCCCTCTCATGATTCAGCTTCTTAAAAACAAAAAACAAGCCTGTAGAACCAGGTTACACTTTCTCAACCAGTAACTGAATCCGGTTGCTTGAGGTCCGGTGGCTACCACTTGGACCACTACCCCATCTTAGAGGGGAAAGGCACAGCCAGGAAACAGGCTTAGTCCTTCAACCACTGCTGTTGCAGACTGGAGCCCTGGGCGATGGTGAGCCCTGCGTTTCTTCCAGATGAAGATGGGGATCACGTTTTAGCCACGGGTGCAAAAGCACTTGCTCCAATGTGGGTCGTTCGGAAGGTTGTGGAGACAAACACCACTGGACAAGATCTTTGAGGCCTGGAAAAGAAGAATCACATTTAGAAAGAGCCCTCCGTTTGAAAGTTATTCAGTGCTCTGGCCTCGTGAATTACTTCTTGAGAAACTTTGATTACTTTCTCTTATTAGAAAGTCCTAAGAGAGTACAGTAACTAGTTCCTAAAGCTCTGGTAAGAGGTAGAAAATGGATAGGCAACTGGTGGTACCCTCATTAGGCCCTCTACTAATGCAATGGTATTCTGCAGTGCACCAAGACTACCTCTTCTAAGTCCAGTCTCAGACTGATGACGAATTGTGGAGCCCAAAAGGTAGGGCAGTGATATTAGTGAGGTAGCTTTGCATAGAAAATATGGGGAAGTCTGGGATGCCTTATTAATTCTTAGTAAGCTCTGATCAGATTGAGTAAAATCAATTTGAAAGTATATGTTTCCCACTGCCCAAGCTGAGAATGGAGGACTGATCCATCCCAGCTACCTAGAAAGATGAGATGGGCAGTGCAGTTATTTAATAAACACACCAACACACACACACACACAACCAAGAAGCACTAGAGAGGACTCACCAGGAGAGACAGGAGTGCGGAACTGCACTTTGGCAGCCATGATTTCTTCATCTCGTTCAAATGGGATATCCCCACATGCCATGTCATACAGCAGTATTCCCAAGGACCAGATGGTTGCTGGGAGAGCATGGTACTGCTGGAATTCTACCCACTCTGGTGGACTGTACACACGGGTACCTGAAAGAAGATGAGGGAAGGAAACAGCTTGTGTCAGGCTCCAAAAACCAAGAACGACATACTGCGATTCTCTAAGCAGTTTCCTTTATTGTTCCTCACTATAGACAGAAATCCTGCCAAATTAAAGCAGACTATTTGCACCACAAAACATACATTCTGGGAACTATTAGGGAGCAGCCATCTTTACCTGCTTTCTCCCACACAAACTAACTAAACTGTGATGTTTCCTGCTCCTCTGGAATGCATTCCCTCCCTCCCTCCCTCCCTCCTGTGAATGCGGACAACATTCCATCACAGCTTGTTACCATCACTGAGTAATGTGCAGTGAATTTAGTTTAGGCATGGATTTAATGTTCTTATGGGTTTTCCCGCTTTAGATAGTAATCTGGAATACTTCCTCTCCTACAAATTGGATCAGGCAGTCCAGGCTAGCCAGTCACTGTGAGGGTATCCTGGACATCTGCCCTAAAGTCATACACTAAGATTATCATTGTATGAAATCATGTAGGGCAGCCATTGGGCTTGCAGGTTAAATAAGGTTGTGATCCTGTTCAATTGAGGACTAGCAGAGTGGAGAAATGCCGGCTGGAGACTCACCATCAAAATCTGTGTAGACCGAATCCCTCAGCAAGGCTCCAGACCCAAAGTCAATGAGCTTGAGGTTGCCAGAGCGCACATCCACCAGGATGTTCTCATCTTTGATGTCCCGATGGACCACCCCTTCGGCATGGCAGTGGCATACCGCTTCCACTACTTGCTGGAAAAAGTGTCGGCAAAGCTTCTCCGAGAGCGGTCCCTGCTCTGTGACATAATCAAAGAGATCTTGGCAATGTTCAGGTCGCTCCAGGACCAGGAAGCAGCCTTCAGGAGTTTCGTACCAATCCAAGAGGCGAATCACACCACGGTGCCCGGATCCCGTCCCAACCAGTTTCATCAGCGTTACCTCCAAAGGAGCCAGAGACCCATTGGGCTGAAATGGGAAAGAGAGAAGGATTTTTAAGTCAAGGGGCGAGGATCAGAAATACTAAAGGCAGCAGCCCTCCTAAGTTAATATCCCCTAAAAGTACTGGAGCTGCAATTCACTGAATTCCTAGCTCTTTTTTTGGGGTCAGTCAGAATTCTAGGAATTGCTAATGCAAGACTCTTGAAGGGACCCTATTGGAGTAAGTTGAAATAAAATGTTTAAAAAAAATGCTCAGAGCTTATTCTACTCCATGACCCTTGTCTAGAACCAGGTTTTATTTCTAGGTAATAGTCTTAAACTGCTAAAGTCATAGTGTCTTATGAAGCAAACATGGGATACGACTGGACCACAAAGCAGAAATGGTGGGTTTTATAAACCAATATCATCTTGAAGACGACCATTTGTTCAAATCTGCTGCAAATTATCCAAGTGCCCAAAATCTATGTTGCAGATCTCTGGTTCACTTCTCACAGAACTATAATTTCCAGACTTTTCAAAGGAAAAGGCAGAGCAGGATCCAGAACTGTAAAAGGTCACCAACATCCCCAAATTCTCACAGCGAGAAAGTCAACTCAACGATGCTGCTTAGGGATATGTGGTGCATCCTCCTTCTCCCTGTTTATGCTCAAGGTCACTTCAGAAAAGTTCTGCCCAGTGAAGTGCTTGTTTCACACTTTTGTATACACCCAGTAAAATTTGCTTGCTTTTCTAAGTCTTCCACTCATTGTGTGTTATAATAATTATGAAGTGTGTGACAAGATAAAAGGGAGGATGCAGTCTACTTATCCTGGAGCTACACACAAAGCAGCACAGGCAGATAGGAGGACATTTTTAGCTTGGCCCCCATTGTCACTTGTTCTTCTTTTCTAGCCTCTGGTCAGCTATAAGGTTTTCCTACTTCAAATTCCACTAGGATTAGAACCGGTGTATTCCTTGCACACTCACCAACTCAGCCCGCTCTGTAATCTTGCTCTTGGCAATGTGTTTGATTGCAACCTGTTGAAAAAAACACAGAGATGTCAGCTCCATTGCTCTCCTTCCTTCTCACCTGTAGAGGTGAAGCAGAATTAGATTTCCTGGAATCCTCCCCGAGCTAGTGCTTTCTATTCTCATGGACTGTAAACTTCCTGATTCCCAGGTACAGAAGGTGCTCGTGGAAATAATGGTGATTATTGCCAACGTCAATCCAAAGCTCTCTCAAAGCCCAATCACTATAAGCCAGGGGTGTCAAACTTGCAACGTCACGTGACGTGTCGCAATGTATCATGACTTTGTTTCCATTGCCGGCAATAGGGTGGGCGCAATTTCGCCATGACGTGTCCGGCAGTTTGACACCCCTGCTATAAGCCATCATAACATCCCTAAACAAATTCCCAGGTTCATTGCAATGTATACAAAGCAGAGCCACACTTG